TACGGTTTTCAGAGAGATTCTGGTACCCACTGGGAGTTCATAAGACATATTTAAGATATTCAAGTTTCAAATAAAATTGGGGGGAAAAAAGATATTCAAATTTCTAGAAGTTTCTACAGTAAATGTGCTTGTTCATCTTTGGTGTATTTTTCCTCAGTACTTTTTTTTGTAGCACAGGAAAAATACACCAGAGAAATCACTTACAGAGATTAGTAATCTGGGAAATATTGATAATCTAGAAGTTTGTGGAATTTTAAATTAGTGTTAATGATTAAACGTTCTTTCTTGTCTTTAAAAGATGCCCATGATAATTTTGCTATATTAAAAAGTATGCTAAGAAATTGAGCACGGCATATATAATATGATCTCACTCTTGAATATTTGTCCAGTTCTTCAAGTTTAGCAAAATGTTAACAGTGATATATTTGATAGTATTATAAATGACTTTACTTGCTATTTGTTCATTTCTCTACTATCTTAACCACAAAACAACATTGTTTTTATTAGAAAGATCACAAGACTTAAGTTTACAGAGTTAATACATTTATAAGCATTGCCATAAAACATAAGTAGCTATAGATAATGATCAACCACAATGTTCTTTGAGATTTGTATAATATATTAATTCCACAGTCCATATAACAGGGTTAACTGAAAGTTTTTTTTATGCCAAACTCCATTCAGAAATGTTCAATGGAGTTTATTTTGTTCCTTTTTCCAAAAGTTTAATAATTGAACAGAATTTACTCTTTGGTAATTGAAATCTTAGAGCAACTAAGAGTATTTTTTTCCTTAAATTTGTTTTAAATTGTATCCTTTCAGAATATATCTAGGGTTATATTTTTTTTTAAAAAAAAGAAATTTCTGTCACTGTACTCTGCCCCACATTTTATACCTGATCATTGGGGAACATCAGTCGGTCATCTTTATTGGGTTTATCTCACTGATACTGAGCCAAAAGCCCAAATACTCTACACCTCTACTTAAGAAACCTTCATTTCCTTTGCCATGTATCTCTGTTGAGGCCTTATCTGAGAGAAAACAAAAACAGTTTTAATATTAAAGATTCTTTGAAAGATTTATGAGTTATCAGTAATGCCACATCAATAAAATCCCTCCCACTAAGCATTCTGAAGATTTTAGAAATGGGTGGAGGAGCCAGGTATCAAAATACTAGCTGGCAAAAAATAGATGAGGGGGAAAATGCAAAAACCTATGATTAAGATGGGATTCCAGATGATAGTTTATAAATCATAAAACTGACTTATGGACTAAGGCCTTAGGACATGACTCAGTGGTAGAGCGCTTGCCTTGCTGAGGTGCTTTCTTCCACCCCGGGAACCCCCCCCGCCACACACACACATACACATACATTCACTAATTTAAACCCCCTTATGGGAATAATTTGATGCACACAGCAGTATTTTACCCAACTAGGTCTGTAAAATATTATAACTCTCATATGTCTGAATTCAGAATATCATTGACAAATTATTAGCACAGCGGGTAGGGCGTTCGCCTTACAAGCGGCCAACATGGCCGACCCGAGTTCGATTCCTCCGCCCCTCTCGGAGAGCCCGGCAAGCTACCGAGAGTATTCGATATGCCAGACACAGTAACAACCAAGTCTCCAATGGAGACGTTACTGGGCCCGCTCGAGCAAATCGACGATCAACGGGAGGGCCTTTACCTTTACCTTATTGAGAAATTAGTGATTTTTATGCAGGATTGACGTTATTGGTATTTAAGGATTGGATGAATGGGATGTGATTCTAGACACAGGTATTTTGGAAACTGCTCACTTGGTTTTTCCCTTAAGTGTTTATTCGGTAACTGTTTATTCAGTGCCTACTAGGCATGAGTTCCATGCTAGATACTACCGCACAACAAACTGGCTTCACTTTAGTGGTGAAGGATGAAGGCTAATTTGCGTTATTAAGTCCTAAACCTGTAGTCACCTACTCTTTTCATTGGTCTCTATTGTCTCTATTGACTTTCTAGTGAAACAAGATAGTTTTTTATTGAGTGAAATTTACTCAGAAAGACATGAAGGGAAAGGAAGAGAAGAATACATGTCCAAGAGGTAACATGGGCTTCTCCAGAGTGGAAAAAAGGCAAGAAGCCATACATATTCCAAGGACACAGGCTTGAAAGAGCAAGCCTGTGCTGTCTTCCTGTTGATCTCTCATCTGAATAGCTGAGCACTGGGAAAATCTTAATTACCTGCACAGTCTCAATTAGGTTCTAGTTATTTGAAATTTGAAATTTCACTATAACACTGACTTCTTTTTTTTCAATGTCTTATTACACACAGTATTCTACACACGTCAATGTCCAAAGTAAATGATCTAACTTTAAAACTTAGTGTGTTTTTTACTAATTTAAATATAGTTCTACATGTCAAAGGAGGGCAAGTGATGTTTCTGTAATTCAGAGAACCTGGGTTTCTAGTTCTTTCTCATTTTATACTGTTTGTCAATAAATCAAGAAGCTTATCTGTTAATTTTCATCATAAAAGTAAATCTAGGTTCACTTAAAAGTAACAGTACAGGGACTGGAGTGATAGCACAGCGGGTAGGGTGTTTGCCTTGCACGCAGCCGACCCGGGTTCGATTCCCAGCATCCCATATGGTCCCCCTAGCACCGCCAGGAGTAATTCCTGAGTGCATGTACTAGGAGTAACCCCTGTACAATGTTGGGTGTGACCTGCAAAAAAAAAAAGTAACAGTACAAATCGGGATATAGTGGAAGCATTTGATAATATTCTTTAAGGTTATTGTAATTATTCATAAGTAAATATTAATCTCTTAAGATGAGAGTCAAGTTGAATTTTGGTAACATTTTCAATCATCAATGCTCATTGGATGATTTTCTATGTAAAATAAAGTGTAAAATCACCTTAAAGTAGAAGACTAGAATGGAACACAGTATAGCCCTACACTGTAGCCCTGTGTTTATTCTAGCTGATGAAGAAAAATTTGCAAAACATTATGTACTCCCTGTTCCAAAAGACATAAGAGAAACTTTAGGAAGTAATCAGAAATAACATGGGAAATGTAAGCTGAAATCAGATTGTATAGAGCTTTGTCTTGAGTGTGACGGTCACTAGCCACTTGTAGGTTTTTGTTGAATGTGGCTAGTGTAACTGAGGAACTAGTTTTGAAACTAGTTAAACTTATTTAAATTAGTAAAAAACAGTAAGTTTCAAAATTCGGTTATTTTAACAACTAGTTACTCAGAAATCAGGAACTGATTTCTAATTATTATTTATTTATTTTGGCTCTGAGGCTACAACCAGTATTTCCCGGGGCTTACTCAGGGATCGCTCCCGGTGGTGCTCAGAGAACCATTTGGGATGTTGGAGGCCAAACCTGGGTCAGCCGTGTACAAGGCAGGTACCCTCTGGCCCCTCAATTTTATTTTAAATTTCAACAGCTATATGTGAACACTGGCTCCCTTTTAGATAATATGGCTCAGTGACGAAGACCCCCACATCCAGCGGTTTTCTATTGCAGTGAGAAGATTTTTAAAGAACTTTCCACAGTGATGAGGAATGACAGCGAGCTAAGCTAAATAACATGAACTGATTGTATCTTGCCTGGCCCTTTTTTATATAGCTGTAATTTTATCATTATCCCAGCTTAATAGTTGACTTAAAAATGCTGACTTTTTCTTTTAGTTGTAATCTTCAAAATAAATTGTTAAAAAGATGCTAACAGTAGTCCACGTTTTTTTAGAGGTTTTGGTATAGCAGATTTTCTTATATCCTTACACAAGGATTTCAATTTCTGTGAAAGACTTTTTGACCTTTTAGTGTTTCTTTAGATACTAATGTGTCCATGTGTTAATATTTGGTAAATGTGTCAGTTATTTGACTGAAATTGCCAGAGGGGTAAGGAATGTGTTTATTGGGCATTAATCTTAATCTTTTCAATCAAGTTTATATTCTAATTTTGGTACTTAGGCAGATCTACATATGGTGTAGATTTACAGTTGATTATACCCCCATCAGTTTATACTGTATAAACAAAACAATAAGATAGAGTATATCTTCTATTTAGTGCATAGTTCCAAAAATTATTTAGTTGAAGCCCTTTCTGTCTTTGAAAAATCGTACTAAAAATTATTATAGACAAAATTATAATAGTCATTTGTGTAAGTAATTCTTATGTTTGGTAGATAAGATTTTTAAGCTTGGTATAGCTGAATCTATATTAGATATTTCTTTCAAAAGTCTGCTGTATTACTAAATTTTGGTAACATTTTCTAACTTTGTATTCTGGTACAGCCTTACATGTTTAATTGCATTTTTTTTCTGCTATTACTAATGCTTAAGGCAAAAATAAATCATATTTAAGTAGTTATTTGACTGCCTTAATGTAGTTTTTGTTCTTTATGTTGGGAATAATTGGCTTTGCCATAATTTACTCGAACTATGTTCATATATTTAAAATAATCCAAATACAGTTTGTCAAGTGGAACATTAGTGATTCACAGTCTTCAGTGAAAGATTAAATTTGAATTTTGGTTGAGGAACTCTAGATTAATCAAGATTAGAGGGTAAATGTTAAAGTATGTAAATTATATCTCAAAGCTGTTATTAAAAATAAAACAGCCAGCAAAAAAAAAAATTCTAGAGATAATACAGTGAAAGTGAAGAAGTTTACTTCTGGTATTTGTAGTGGGCTTCCCCATTATAAGGAAAGATTAAGGATTATTTCCCCCCCAGTTTGCAGTTATTCTTCATAATAATAAGTTATGTGTGGAGGCACCCATTCAAGTAGGACTAAATTAAAACTCGTCATCATGTGGTGTATTCACTGGAATAGCTTTCCCCCTCAGATATCTGCTTTGTCTGAACTATCCTTTGAGTGTGAGCAGGTCGCAGTTGGGAGGGCATTTTCAGCGAGATGGTAGGTAGAAATAAGGCTTGGTAACTCTCCCTTCCCCTAAATATAAGTGTCAGAATTTTAACTAGGTTTCTCTTTTGTTTGAAACAGTGATGACTCGTGGCACTGCCTCCAGCCCATCCTATAGATTCATATTGAATGATGGGACAATGCTTAGCGCCCACACCAAGTGTAAACTTTGCTACCCTCAAAGTCCAGACATGCAGCCTTTCATCATGGGAATTCATATCATCGACAGGTACTTCTTATTTGGAGAGCTTCATGAAATAAGTCAGTTCACATATCTCTTCTTGAAGAAACATTTTTATACTCTTGCTGGATGGAAAACAGTTTCCAGATCAGGCATTAAACTAGTATGATGAGTAATAATATATCAATACTGGGTTTTATAGTTTTGTCGTCGAACACTAGTGTTGTTGAGAGAGGGAGTAAGGAAAGGTGAGGCTTACAGTTTTCCATATTTGAACTTACGGTCTTATAAAGGTTTCAAAGTTTGTTGACATTGTTATTTTTTTTAAAGTGTTTTCATTAAGGCAAGTTCTGTGGCTCCTGAGTTTGATAGTTTCTCAAACGATAAAGCATTGAACTATCAACTTGAAATTTTTTTAATATCTTAGCCTCTTGTTCTCCTTTAAATGTGTTTTCTATTGGTATTTATAGTAAATTCATGAAACCATTCTTTTGTCCTATGAATTATTCAGAACTGTACATTTACAACTATTAAAATTTAGCATTAAACAAAAACAAAGACATTTTCCTCACTTCATCTTTTCCTCATCTGATATATTTGCTTATTGGAACATGGTTAATACCAGTCACAAATGTGTTATCATAATTATGGATTTTAGTAAGGAACTTGATAAAATCTGAATTCTGTATTCTAGTTTTTTTCTAATTTTAGTTTAATTTATGCTTGTGAGTGGAATTAGCACAGTTCTTTTTTTTCATATTGTGATTTCTCTTTCAAAAACATCTGCTATGTCTGCATATCACCCCTTTTAATTTTTGCATCAGTGACATAGTATTTTCCTTACCCAGTCTTCCTCTTTGGAGTTGAAATACTTAAAAGCTGTAACTTAAAGACTGAAATGGGAGTCATGAGTAAAGAGAGGTGTGGAAATTTTCTCTTCCACCTAAAAGTATTATTGCAATGCTATTTGTATTAAATTTTGAAAACCTCAGAAGGCATATGTTGGATTTTTCCAAGGCCAAGTAGATTTATTTTTTTTAAATGTAACAAACCATTACCAAATTTATGGTACCCAAAGCACTATTTCCCATTAAGTGGTGCTCGAATTTCATAGTAGCACTAACAGCCTACTGTTTTTCTTTCAAGTGATGCAGAAGCTCTTTCTTGATAGCTTGCAGTATTAATGAGGTCAATGAATATAATAAAACTCATAAATACTTCAGTGGAAATCAGTGAAGATGTTGAAATAATAATGTCTCCCCCTTTTCCAGGGAACACAGTGGGCTTTCTCCTCAAGATGACACTAATTCTGGAATGTCTGTTCCCCGAGTAAACCCCTCTGTCAATCCTGCTATCTCTCCCGCTCATGGTGTGGCCCGTCCACCCACAGTGCCGTCATCTAACAGCAACATGGTGTCCACCAGAGTGACCCGCCAGCAGGGTTCAGATCTCCATAGCAGCAGTCACAGTAATTCTAGCAACAGCCAAGGAAATTTTGGATGCTCACCGGGAAACCAGATTGTAGCCAGTGTTGCCTTAAACCAGGGACAGGCCAGTTCCCAGAGCACTAACCCCTCTTTACCCCTCAACAACTCTCCTATGGAAGGTACCGGAATATCCCTCACACAGTTCATGTCTCCAAGGAGACAAGTTAGTTCTGGATTGACAAGACCCAGGATGCCAAACAATTCATTTCCTCCTAATATTCCAACATTAAGCTCCCCTGTCGGCATGACAAATACTGCCTGTAATAATAGTAACCGATCCTATCCAAACATCCCAGTATCATCTCTGCAGAGTATGAATGAAGGACCCAATAACTCTGTGGGCTTCTCTGCCAATTCTCCAGTCCTGCGGCAGATGAGCTCACAGAACTCACCTAGCCGATTAAATATACAACCAGCAAAAGCTGAGTCCAAAGACAACAAAGAGATTACATCCATTTTAAATGAAATGATTCAGTCTGACAACAGCTCCAGCGATGGCAAACCTCTGGATTCCGGGCTTCTGCATAACAATGACAGACTCTCAGATGGAGACAATAAATACTCTCAAACCAGCCACAAACTAGTGCAGCTGCTGACAACAACTGCGGAGCAGCAGTTACGGCATGCTGACAGAGACTCGAGCTGCAAAGAAGTACTGTCTTGCACAGGAACTTCCAACTCAGCCTCCTCTAACTCGTCAGGGGGTTCCTGTCCCTCCTCTCACAGCTCCCTGACAGAGAGACACAAAATCCTGCACCGGCTCCTCCAGGAGGGTAGTCCCTCGGATATCACCACCCTGTCCGTGGAGCCTGAGAAAAAAGACCCTGCGTCCACTTCTGTGTCAGTGACTGGACAGGTGCCAGGGAACTCCAACATAAAACTAGAACTGGATACTTCAAAGAAAAAAGAATCAAAAGACCACCAGCTCCTACGCTACCTTTTAGATAAAGATGAGAAAGATTTAAGATCAACCCCTAACCTGAGCCTGGACGATGTAAAGGTGAAAGTGGAAAAGAAAGAACAGATGGATCCGTGTAACACGAACCCAACCCCAATGCCCAAACCTGCCCCGGAAGAAATTAAACTGGAGTCCCAGAGCCAGGTGGGTAATTCCTCACTTCACAGAATGAGCATATCTGACATATCTGAATATTGTTTCTTTTTCACTCATTTTGCTTCAAAGACTAGATTTGGACCAGGGCTGTTTGTCTTCTTCGCCCATGGACATATATTAAAAGGTTGGTATTGACTGGTGAAAAAATCTCAGGATGCCCTCACTGTTTCTCTTCAGAATGTTCGAGGACAAAAAACAAAAAAAAAGGAATGTTCGGGGACTATAATATTAATGTGGCACTCTATGAAAGTCTAGGTTCCTCTCATTTTTCTAAAGTAAGCATTCACATCTTTGTCAATTTTAATTGACTAATCAGACCCAGGGTCTCGATCATACAAGGTTGTACCTCTACCACTGAGCTATACCTAACTCCCTTTATAGTGTGTTTTTTTCCTGTCTCCTCCTCCTCCCAAACTACCTATTAAATTCTGCTTTTAAGAATAGAACCCAGGAATCTGTATTTTGGAGAAGTTCCCATGAGAACTCTGGTGGATAATGCTAAGTGTGGGAAACGACGGAATAGCAGAATGGGAAAGAAATGTAAGGAGGGGCACGAGGATGCCTGGTTTTGCTTGGTTTGCTAATTTCCTTTGAAATCAAATGCTCGAAAGCATTTTCCAGCATTGTTTTCCTTCTTGCTGATTTCCTTCTCATTGTTTTCGTTCTAGACTCGTCAGAGACTAAGAGACGTGACCATTGTAGATAGAAGGGTGTATGACAGGCCCTGAACCTAAAGTGAATCAGAAGACACTTTCACGTTGCTTGCTATGGACTAGGAACCCCTCTGTTTAGTTTGGGAAGTGTGGGGGGGAGGGGAAATATTAATATACAACCATTTTATTTATTGACTAATTGCGTATGCACTCTGGGTTCAAATAAAACAAAATATGATCCTTCCCTTCAGGAGCTTACAGATCAGTTATTTAGACAGAATGTGGACTTTCATGAAACAGTGTAAATGAATTTACAAAGCAGGTTATTAATCAGTCCCCATCATGAAACAAGATCCATTCTAAATTTGAAGAGGGCCTTATTGAACCAGCTTGATTTCTGCCCTCTTCTCACCGAACCCTTTTCCCGCAGGCAGACCGCATGCTAGAACACAGAAACCCTTGCCTTCCTTGGCTCAGCCATGTCCCTTCTAAGCATCCTCGCAGCCTGCTCTCTTTTCTTTCGGTCTCACTTCTCCTTAGCGACCCTCCCCCCTTAGCCATCGCCTCCTTCTCTTTCTTCTCTTGGAGCACTGGGGTCTCTGCTCGCTGTCTGTCTTAGCATGGCTTTACTGATTTCTTTTTGTTGTAGTTTTTTTTTTCGTTTGCGCTCAGGGCTTAGTCTTGGCTCTGCACTCCGGAATTACTCCTGGTGGGCCCAGGGAACCGTAGGGGATGCCAGGGATTAAACCCGGGTCGGCTGCATGCAAGGCAAGCGAGCACCCTGCCCACTAAACTATATCTCCGATCCTGTTTTGCTAATTTCTTTATGTGTGTTCTTTTGGAGGATAAGACTGTCTTTCATATGATTTGGTGCTACTAAAACTATAGTGTGCAGTTAAGCTGAAATATAACTTTCAATGATACCTATGTTAAGACTGTTTGAAAATACCGGCTTTATGAAAATAATTACACAGGTACAATCCGCCCATCAGTTTTGGTAAACAAGTATACTCATTTCTGGTGAGTTTATATATCCAGAGCGGAGTTGCAGGGTAATAAGATAATAGGTATTCTTTAATAGATAATTCCAGTTTCTCTGGTCTGTGAGAATTCCTTCTAGGTTTTTCTTTACCTAATCAAGACTTTATATTTTATATTGTCAATTTTTTTCAATTTTAGCCGTTCTGGGTTTTGTGTAGTATTTTACTTTTAATTTGTGTTTTCCTGATAAATGTCACACACACAGGTATCACTGTATCACTGTCATCCTGTTGTTCATCGATTGCCTGGAGCAGACCCCAGTAACGTCTCCTTTGTCCTAGCCCTGAGATTTTAAAAGGTGCCACATTCGAGGCTCTTTCAGGGTCAGGAGAATGAGACCCATCATTGTTACTGGTTTTTGGCATATTGAATACGCCACAGGGAGTTTGCCAGACTCTGCCATGTGGGCAGGATACTTTTGGTAGCCTGCCAGGTCCTCCAGAGTAAGAACTAGATAATATGATGTCGCGCGACCGCAAATGCGGCCACATGCTTCCAAGAGCAGGGTTTTATAGTCTCTGGGTCTTGGCCATTGATGGGGTTGCATGGCACGGGGGGGGGGGGGGGCAGTTGGTGGATGTAACGCCTACCCACTGGAAGATGGGGGATCTGGGTGGAGGAGGCCCAGTCCCAATCCGAGCAGGCTAGGAGATCTACGCCCCGGGTCCCGCACACCTGGGTTCCTCGGTCGGTTCCTTCATGCATGAGGCTCGTGTGGAGAGTGGTCTTAAGCATGGCTGTGGCTGGAACCGGAGGTCTTCAGCTGCCGGGACTCTGCTTGGGGTGGGGAGGGAAACTCAACCCACCCTCCTCCAAGGGGCCCTGATGAGGACAGCCAGGCATGGAGGCAGGAGACTCTGCACACAGGTAGATAATTTTATTCTGGTGGCTTAAGGTATCATAGTAGAATAATATGAAATACAGGTCAGTTTTCTCCTCTTTTTTTTAAATACCTGCAGACAAATGTAGAGATTCCTATCTTTTGGGGAGAAGGGGAGGAGTTGGGCTATATCCAGCAGTACTCAGGGGTTATTCCTGGCTTTATACTCTGGAATTACTCCTGGCTGTGCTCGGGAAACCATATGGGTGGTAGGAATCAAACCCAGATCGACTGCATAGGGGGCAAGTACCCTACCCATAGTACTATCTCTCCCACCTCTCCCTACTTTAGAACATGCTTTTCTTATTTTATTGAATCCATAAATTGGAAATGACCTTTCTGAGATTTTTAGAATTAATAAGACCATTTTTAATGTTATCCAAAGGATTAAATAATTGTATAAAAACTTGTTGGTGTAACTGTATTTTCCATTCCAACATGAAGTAATTTGTTTTATAAAACTTTGGACAATATAGCCTAAAATATCACCCATACACTAACATAACATATTATTAGTCTTGGACTTCTTTCCAGTATAATCATTTTCTAGTGCATAAACTTTTATACCAAGGTATTTTTTTATGAATACAAGCTAATGTTCCCTAGTATATTGGGATTATGCTACATGCATCCAAATTTCTTTCCAGTAAACAGGTCATATTATACTGAGGGCCAGTCTTTCTAATTATTTACTTATTCTCTCCTAATCACACTTAATTCATTAAAGAACAATTGTTTTTTTCTACGTTGTTTCAGATAAAAATGTAGAATATACTTCCTCTAACTATGGTTTCCTCTCTTAGTTTGCAGCTGACCTTGACCAGTTTGACCAATTACTTCCCACACTGGAGAAAGCTGCACAGTTGCCAGGCTTATGTGAACCAGAGAGAATGGACGGTGCAGTCACCAATGTAGCCATCAAATCTGAGATCCTGCCAACTTCTCTTCAGTCCAACACTGCCAGACCCACTCCCAGGCTGAATAGTATGTGCTGAAGGCAAAAACCTCCTTTTAAATGTTTAATGATAATGTGGATAATTGCTCTTGATTTCAAGGACCTTTTGTTTGTTGACAGGGAATGTCTTTTTATTAATGCCACTGTAATATATATATATATGTGTGTGTATATATATATACACATATATATACACATGTGTGTATATATATACATATATAGAGTAATATATATATATACATGGACATAGAAGGAAATGGTTTTGAAAATATATTTACATTTGGGGCCATGGAGATAGTTCAGAGGGCTGAAACTCGTATCTTGCCTTTGATCCCCAGCCCTCCCTAGCTCCCCCTGTTCACCTCCAGATCTGTTGCTGGAGAGTCTCTGGCACTACCATCACTGGGCCCTCGTATCTCTGGGCCAGAGCACCTATGGGACCATCACTGCAGGCTGAGTATTGCCAGGAGTGGCCTTCAGGACACTCAGCACCACTGGAAAGTCCTTTTACCCCCACTCCCCTTACACAAAGATATATAGTTACATTTAGACATGCAGATTCATATCTGTATCTGGGTTTTTGTTGTTGTGGGTTCTTTTTCCATTTTTAAAAAATGTACTGAATCACCATGTGATACAAAGTTACTGAGTTGTTCATGATTGAGTTTCTATTGTACACTGTTTGGGCACCATCCCTTCACTAGTGTCCACTTCCCTTCACCAATGTCCCAGTTTCACTGCCCCAGCCTTCCTCTATGGCAGGCAGTTTTCTTTTTTCCTTTTCATTGTTGTGTTTTGCAATACTGTTACTGACAGGGTAACATGCATATCACTTTACCATCTTTCGGCACCCAGTTCTTATCTAGAATGGTCACTTCTCATTATCACTGTCCGAGAGGTTCCTTCTCTGACCAATCCTCCCTCCCCACCATTGTGGCAAGCTTTCTACTAAGGATCAGTCTCCCAGCCTTTGGGTTTTTTTGTTTGTTTGTTTGTTTATTTTTGGTCTTTGGGTATTCTACTATGTTTCTTTATATCCCTCAAATGAGTGCCTCACTCTGTCCCTCTCCCTCTGATTCATTTCTCTCAGCATGATACTCTCCATGTTCATCCATATGTTGTGGGAGAGGGGGATTCAGGGACACTTGGCTGTGCTCAGGAGTCACTCCTGGCTCTGTGTTCTGTGCTCAGGATCACACCTAGTGATGCTCGAGGGACCATATGCTGTGTGGGGGATTGAACCCAGTCGGCCATGTATACAAAACACGACAATTTTTTTTCTTCAGTCTTACCCCAAACATTCCATAACAGCAATTAGAGAAATATAATACTGGTTCACATTATGTTTCTTAAAATACTTTCCTTGAATACTAATCCTATGAGTATTCATCAAAGAAACAATTTTTGTGCTAAAATGCACTGGAAAAAAGCTGCATGATGCATTTACCATTTCCCTTTTTAACTTCCACAATGCATGTTAAAGGTTTTAAGGAGTCCCATACTAAAGAAACAAGTCTTTAGATGTCCTTAACCCAACATTTAACAAACTGACTTTCTTGGCAGGGGGCAAGTAGGGCTGGGCATAGGGCCCCACCCAACTATGCTCAGGCTTACTCCTAGCTCTGTGCTCAGGGATCACTCCTGATGGGGCTTGTAGGACCAGATGTGGTGCCAAGGTTAGAATCGGGGCCAGCCACATGCAAGGCAAGAACTCTACCACTCTACTATTGCTCCAACCTGAAAATACATTTTATACATAAGTAAAATGGGAAGAAAACTGAACAAAGAACAAAAAAGAACTTTTGGCAATTAGACACCCAAAACTAAAAATATTTCAAGAGAAATGTTAGAAGATAAAGGTGAAACAAACTCTCAGAAGAAACAAAAAGATCAAGAGACAGACAAGTCAGGAAGAAAATGTTAAGGCTGACTTAGAAGAAGCAATAATGATAGATAAGAATTTCAGAAACTAAAATATGAGGGAAATGGAAGAGAAGATACTGTCAGCAGAAAAAAATACAAGATTTTTGTAGAATTTAATTTAATTTAATTCATAGTTCTCCAGATTGAAATGGTTCAACCAATACCCAATTTAAATGGTTCAGAAATCTCTCTCTCTCTCTCTCTCTCTCTCACACACACACACACACACACACACACACACACACACAAGCTTCTCATCATGTAATTCTGTAGTGTCAGAGACAAAGAAAAAATTAAAGATTTGAAAGCTTTCAGAGAGATATAAACTTCATCCAGTGTATTACAGCTGGCAAAACTTGGAAGCCCTTAGCCGTGTACAGACATGGAGAAACCTAAAATTCATACTGCTGAGTGGAAGAAGTTCATCTGAATAAAGCTATGTACTGTTTAATTCCAACTGTATAACATTCTGAAGGCCAAACCATCCAGATAGTGACAGGATCTGTGACTGCCAATAAATCATTGGCAGTCCCTGGTTGCCTGAGGGAGGATGAACAGGCGGAGCGCAGCACTTTTAGGGCAGTGAAACTGTTCTGTGTGATAGTGTAACGGCAGCTACATGTTGTTATATATTTGTCACCCTGTTTCAGCACCATTTAGAACTGGGACTATCTGCCATGGCACATACCTTTTCTGTCGTGCTTTTCTCTCCCTTATCTTTTCATCTATTTCCACTTTGCTTGTCAGCCCATCTATTCAATTCTTTTAATCTTTGAATTCTCTTATCTTGATTTTATTTTATTTTATTTTATTTTGCTTTTCGGGTCACATCCAGCGATTCTCAGGGGTTACTCCTGGCTCTGCGCTCAGCAGTTACTCCTGGCGGTGCTCGGGGACCATATGGGATGCTGGGATTCAAACCCGGGTCGGCCGCATGCAAGGCAAACGCCCTACCCGCTGTGCTATCGCTCCAGCCCCTATCTTGATTTTAATCTCTGTAAATCTATAGATTCTATAAATCTATAAACCATTCTCATACAAGTCTTATTATTTTTATAATATGACAGTTTTTTACCCATATTATGATTAGGTTTATTCTGTTTACTTTAGATGTATCTATTTTCTGTAATTACCCTTTTTCTACAAATCTGTTTTCTAGCTAAGGTGAAATATTCTATGCAAATTTCCTAAATTTTCAGTCTCTCTTTCCTGCTGTTGACTTTCCCGGGGTATCTGGTACATGGACTATCCATCACTACTGGAAGAGACCTGGAGGGGGAAATGGTGGGAAGCTTGAGTGTTTCTCTAGCTAAAGGGAGTGATCCTCTTGCCTCGGCAGTTGGGGATATGTTCTGATTCTAGAAGACTGTCACTTGTGAAGGCGTTGGGGTCATACTCGGGGGCTGACTCACTTCTGCATCCCGAGCTCCTACTGAGACAGTGTCCTTGGGCACAACTCCCAGGAGTCATACACTCACCTCTTTCCTTGCAGAGGCCACTGCACTCTTGGGGCTCTGTGTAATTTGCTTTAATTAGCCCAGCGATTGCCTGCACTTTGCAGTGGTTCTGGTGTTCTGGTAAAGCGCCCCTTTTTGGAGATTTCCTTTGTCATACTACAACTTTCTTTGTTCAGTTCTATTTGCATCTATTCTGTCTTTCAGATATTCTTGTTCTAGTCTACTGCCATTTTTCTTTTCCTTCTGTGGCAGATTAAGTTATTTTTTTATTTCCTGTGTTACTTCAGTGATTTGTTTTGAGAATAGAATATAGGTGGTCTTGCTGCCACATTGAACCACAGAAAATTTCCATAGATCTATTGATATTTGAAAAAACTAAAGTTCAGAGAAGGAAAAGAGGAAAAGCACACACAGAGAGAAACAAAATGTGACCACAATTACCCAGTTAGCATATGCAGAACCAGGATTTAAGTTTTAGCCTGCCTGGTTTCAAAACATGATTTTGTATGCACACGCACAGACTTCATCCAGTGTGACCAAGTGATTTGAATAATTTTGCCGGAGGGCTGGAGAGATGGCTCCAAGGCTGGGCACATTCTGTGCATGCAGGAACCCTTCCTGGTCTCCTGAGCTCACCAGAAGTTGCAGGAATCTCACACACACTGCCAGGTGTGACTCCCCCAACACACACATAGCAATAAAAATATATCATTGAATAACTTTTCTAGAAATGGAGTATGAGAACACATCAAGACACATACGGCCTTTTCAGCACAGACAGCCTAGGATGGGGATTGTTGATCAAAACATGTACATTCAAAATCTCTGTTGTGCTATTTTTTAAATAAACAATAGTCATTTCTTATTTAAATTTTTTAATTAATTTCAACTTATACAGTTATAATTTGACGTGTAAAATTGTAAGATAACCAAAGTGTACTTTGTGCCTATTTGCCATACATATGCATGGTGGAAAGATTCTCCTGTGTCTAGTAAATTAGCACATCATCCATCTCATGGATTTCTTTCTTTCTCTGTGTGTGAAAACATTGAGGTTCTACTCTCCTCGCAAAATGCAATATACAAACAGCAACGTGCACTGTTACCAACTCTCACCATGGTTTACATGAGCTGAATTGTGTAATTCTTTAAATCTTGCCACTTTCGATATACTGCTTATTTAGCTAGTACTTGTTTTAAAGAAAAAGGCATAAATGATTACATTATGAACATCATCAATTTTGATTTTCCTGTTTTTGAGGTTGCCTTTAGTGGGTTGTGCTGTTGGTATACTTCTTTTGTTATTACCGAGCTTAATGAAAATCTTACATTGAGACCTTTTACCACATATCAGAATATATTTGAAATGCAAGTTCCAAATGGAGTGATCGGTCCTTTAATAGATATTGTCAGATGACCCTTATTAGAGCTATCATCAATCTCTACTCTGATAATACTCTTCTTTTTGTCTTACTCTTGACAGTACTTTGAGTTTTATGCACTTTCTCCTCTTGCCTATCTGACCTTTTCAATGTTTAATCATCAGTATAGTCTGAATTAGATTATATTGAACTAAGTTATTGTTTTTCAGTTATTTTGAGACCTGAGCTTATTCTCTAACCATTTGTTGGGTCATTTGGATTTTATGCTAATGGTTTGTTGAAGTTTATTATATGCTAGAGTAGTAGTCCTTGGCAAATATCTTTTGTGGGACAGGTGTTGGCTCACACATTGTGATACCCAGTGGCTGCTCTTGACTCAGTGCTTTGGAACTTGTAGTGCAGGGATCAAACCAAGACCTCCCTCACGCAAAGCGTGCATTCCAGTCCTTTGAGCTATCTCGCTGGCTCCATTATATTTTTTTAAAAAATCAAAAGCTATGACTTATGCATAGTTACTGCCAGATGTAACGCAAAACTGATTAAGAAACTTCTTGTGGTTATAGTGTTTTCTATTTTGTGTGCAGATATATTTTACATTTTTAATAATATAAGGGTTTTTTACTGGAGTCAGTGTGGCTGGTGGGGACATAAAGTTTTCATTTTAACCAAATTTTAAGTGGAGAGAATATATTAAATATTTTGCAAAAATGCAAAAAACATGATACTTGATCATAGATTATACAAGATTCTCTTTGCAAGCCTGATATTGCCCCTTCTGAAACAGAATAGTAACCATATTGACTAAATCAAAGTTTGACTGGCTTCTTTGGGGCATTTTTCCTAGTCGCCAAGCATAAAATATGAATCTCATTTTGTTTCAAAAATACTTTAATTTATTTTCTTCACATTTTTCCCTGCTTAGGACTTGTAAAATGAGATACTTTATTATCTAGGCAGATAAACTATCTTATAATAATATTCTTTTAGTTAAATATAATATTTTTCTAGGATAGACTTCTGAAGGGAAGAGGATTGAGGGAATTAATGTAGAGAATACAGCAAGGGGCTTCTTTAGATCTTTTTTTACCAACTTCCTAATTTAAACAATAAAAAGAGTTGAATGATCACCTTCCATCAGTAGTTATTGTTGTAGTTTGGTTACTTTTGTTTGTTTCAGTTTTCAGACTCATGGATTTCATTTATTTGTCATGACGGCCATTCTAATGAGAAGCTATAATTATTTGCATTTTATCAGTGAATATTAGAATAGGCAATTCTATCTAATTTTGTTTTTTCTAAAACTCAGAGGTATTTTTCATTTAAAAAATTGTCAGTTTGCTAGGACTGCTATAAGAAACTACTCATACTGAATAGCTTAACTAACTGAAGTGGATTTTTCTCACAGTTCTGAAAGTTAGCTGTGAGAAAAGGTTTCGCACACTCACAGTTTCTGTTTCTTCTGCGACCTCTCTGTTCTTTCAGATGGACCTTTAGGTGTCTGCCATGTTCCTATGGGTCACTCCCACTCTGCTTTGTCGTCCCTGTCCTAATCTCTTCTTGTAAGAAATCCAGTTAAGTTATAGTAGATCCCACTCCCTGACCCTGCTTACTCATTTCTTGGCCCTGTCTCTAAACGGAGCATGTTCTGACAAGGTAGTAGGTGACAGAACTTCAACAGATGAGTTTGAGGAGAATACAGTTCAGCTTATAGCAATGATCCGTTAGTGTTTTATTTTAGAAATCGACATCAGAAACTCTGAAAGTAAAAGTAATTCTATTACTCACTTCCTAACATCTACAAAGGATACATAATTTTTCAGATTTTTTTATAGAATTTTTTTTTTTAAAAAATGGAGTCATCTCCATCATAATGTCTTAAACAATGCTTTGTGTCCTTTTTTTATAGCACATAGTAAAATCCTGTACCAGAGTTCACTATCAGTCCCTAATATTTTGGAATTTGGGGTGGGGGGTTGAAATATTTTTTCCAGGGCTGAAGAGATAGTACAACAGGTACGGCATTTGCCTTGCACGGGCTGACCCAGGTTGGATCCCCAGCATCCTCTATGGTTCCTTGTGCACTGTGGCACTGTCCACTGTAGCACTGTCCTCCCATTGTTCATTGATTTGCTCGAGCAGGCACCAGTAATGTCTCCATTGTGAGACTTGTTGTTACTCTTTTCGGCATATCGAATACGTCACAGGTAGCTTGCCAGGCTTTACTGTGCGGGCGGGATACTCTCAGTAGCTTGCCAGGCTCTCTGAGAGGGACAGAGGACTCAAACCCGGGTCAGCTGCGTGCAAGGTAAATGCCCTACCCGCTGTGTTACTGCTCCAGCCCCTTGTGCACTACCAGGAGTAATTCCTGAGTGCAGAGCACAGAGTAGCCCTGGGCCAAGTATGGCTGAAAAAAAAAAAAAGAATTCTTTTCCTCGTATAGATTATACAGAATATTTTAAAAAGAAACTTTAAAAAATTGGGGCCAAAGAGGTAGTATAATGAGCAAGGGTTTGTCTTGCATATGACCCACTCGGGTTCAATCCCAATACCCCATCTGGAACCCCAAGACTGCCTGGAGTGATCTCTGAGTGCCAAGCCAAGGGGTAAGTCCTGAGCACAGATGAGTGTGATCCCCCAGCCCCCAACAAAACAAATCCCTTATTCCCATACCAAAGTTTTCTTGAATTCATACACAATTTTCTTCCACTAAAGATACATAATTCTGAAGCTGAAGAAGATGTACAGTGTGTAGGACATTTGTCTTATACATGGCTGACTTGGGTTTGATCCCCTGCATCCTATATAATTCACCAGGGGGGATTGTATAGGACGCAGTGGATCAAAAAACAAAAGATAAATAACTCAGGGCTAGTGACGTGGGTCAGCTGTAGAGGATATCACTCAAATATCATGAGACCCTGAATTCAATCCCAGACACACACACACCACACACACACACACACACACACACGGAAAGAGATAACACCCATAATTCAGCCTCTGTTTTTCCTGTCCCTTTCCTCTCCTGCTATTGTCACAGTGACTGGGGTTTACATACTCCTGGTTATGGTGCTCACATGCGAGGTCAAGGCTTTTGCTGGGGTTTGCACCCTTCAGTTGTCTTTGCATGTGTACTCACCAGGAATCACACTCATTTTGTTGTGATGCTCATAAACATTCCAGTTGTAGTACTTGATGGTGGGTGTACTCACTGGCCGTAGTGCCCATTGACCACCTATGGCAGTGTCCACAGGTGCTGCTCACATGTCACTAACTGCCGTGCATCTGAGATAACACACACTGCTGTGCCCTTGGGGGTCCTGGACGACAGAGCCATCAGGACCACACTGGGGATCACCACGCAGGGCCCCACATATGCCGGGTAGCAGCTTTTGCCACTGAGCCCGCCCCGCACAACCTCTTTTTTAAATTGAGTTATCATTATCAGCATAAATTATGATACCATTGCTATGCAGATATTTTCTCAGATAACAGCTGTAGAGCTTTATCCATTTATTAAATAGCCCTAGATTGCTATGCTTGGCTCCTATTTCTGTCTTTTAGAGAACATACTTATCTTTGCTTGCTGCCTCATCTGGTGATAATCTGTCCCTACTTACATTACAGTATATTCTAATGTGCTATAAATTGAAAAAGTAATTAACCAAAATCCTTATCACTGTATTTAAATAATTTCTGACAACATTCTGAGTAATACAAATATCAACCTACTGCAAACTTTTACCTTCAGATTTTATTTAATTTATTTTCTCACTTCCTCGTTGTGTGGCTATAATCTAGAACATTTTTCAGTTTCTGAAAAAGTGACTTTTTATATCATTGAAGTACTGTTTTATAGTGGAAATCTCATTTTATTGAAAAATATGTTACTTCTGTGCTAAGTGAAATGAGACAGAAAGAGAGGGACAGACATAGCATGACTGCACTCATTTGTGGAATATAAAATAACAGAATATGAGACTGACACCCAAGGACAGTAGACACAAGGGCCAGGAAGATTGCTCCATAGTTGGAAGCCTGCCTCATGAGCTGGGGGAAAAGGCAGCTGGAATAGAGAAAGGATCACTAAGTCAGTGATGGTTGGAGAGATCATTCGGGATGGGAAATGTGTGCTGAAACTAGATAAAAGACCAAATGTGATAGCCTCTCAGTATATGATTTGCAAACCATAATGCCCCAAAATAGAGAGAAAGTATGGGGAAAACTGTCTGCCATAGAGGTAGAGGAAGGGTTGGAATGGGGGTGGGGGGTTTACTGGGGACATCGGTGATGGAAAATATGCACTGGTAAAGGGATGGGTGTTCGATCATTGTATGACTGAAACTCATACATGAAAGCTTTGTAACTATCTCACGGTGATTCAATAAAAAAATTAAAAATTAAAAGGAAAAATATGTTACTTCTGATCGGTATTGTTATTTTATCTTCCATTTAATTCCAACTTCTTATTTCCTTTAATCAGGATTACCTGAACTGGAATTGGAAGCAATTGACAACCAGTTTGGACAGCCAGGAACAGGTGATCAAATTCCGTGGGCAAATAATACAGTGACAACAGTAAATCAGAATAAAGCAGACGAGTGAGTAGAATATTTTGTATTTCATTTTGTAGTTAGTATCAGATACTGAATTCTTCAAGAAAGAACTACTTTTCCCAGAATAAGGTCCAGTCTACATAGGTATTTTTTTAATATTAATAGAGGTAGATATTTAAAAATAAATAATAAGGGGAGAATGCCATGCTAAACAAATTTATTTATGACATGATGCCAAGAGCACTATAGATTACATCTTTTTTATTTGACTCCATAAAAACCCTGATCTCTGCAAATGAGTGGGTCTCAGTACAGCAGCCATGCTGTGCCTATGTTTTCAGTTTTGTCCAGTTTTTCTCTCTGTTTGGAGCACGAATTTAAGAAAGTAAGTTGCTGTCTATATTGATTAGAATAAATATTTTTACTGTGTGGGGGGTCATACCCGGTGATACTTAGGGGTTACTACTGGCTCCATACTCAGGGCTCACTCCTGGCGGTGCTGAGGGTACACACAGGATGCTAAGGAGTGCCAGATCGATAGTGTTCAAGGCCAGCACCCTGCCCACTCTCCTGTCTCCCTAGCCCCTGATTAGAATATATTTCTTAATCCACAGATATTACAGGCTGGAGCGATAGCACAGCGGTAGGGCGTTTGCCTTGCACGCAGCCAACATGGCCGACCCGAGTTCGATTCCTCTGCCCCTCTCGGAGAGCCCGGCAAGCTACCGAGAGTATTTCGCCCGCACGGCAGGGCCTGGCAAGCTCCCTGTGACGTATTCGATATGCCAGATACAGTAATAACAAAGTCTCCAATGGAGACGTACTGGACCCGATCGAGCAAATCGATGAACAACGGGAGGGCTTTTACCTTTACCTTTACCTTATTACGGTTCTGTAGCACAGAATACAGCTCATACAAAGATGTACAATAGTATTGTACATACAACATATGGCCAAACTGTATTGAGTATGTTTGAGAGCTTCAATGATGAGCTGTGTTCAAATTTATCTTCCCAAAAGAAGAATTCTTCATATGTGTTTCATGTTAGTAATAGTGACAGTGGTGGTCATAGTGTTAATAGTACTAGGAATTACTTTACAGGTTTAGACCAAGTGTTGACAGTGCCCCTTGGGCTGGAATACTGGAGCCCCAGAACTGTACCTGGTCGTGTTGGGGGGCCATGCAGTGCCAATGAACAAACTCAGGGTCTTTATATGCAGGGCATGCACTCCTGCTCTTTGAACTATCTCCCTGCCTCTAATTATCTTGTTCCTGTATATAATCAATTTGTTGAGAAACATTAGACATATCTCTTTTGAAGAAGGTCGTTTTTTGTTTTTTGTTTGGGGGCAACACAGCTGTGCTCAGGACTTACTCCTGATACTGCACTCAGGAATACCCCTGCCAGTGCTCAGAGGACCACATGAGATATCAGGGATTGAACCTGGGTCTGCCACGTGCAAGGCAAATAACCTACTCCTTAGAATATCTCTCTGGCCTCTCATGTCTTATTTTTACAAATTGTAATCTTGTAGTGTTATCAATATTATTTGTTCATTTTTGAAATTTTGGTATTATACTGTGTGCTATTTTGATTATGATTCAATTATCAATAATTAATGGCAACTAAAGAATAAAAGAAAATAAAGAATAAAGCAAAATAAATTTGAATATAGGCTGAATAACTTTTTTCTGAGTTTCTGGCTGATTCTGTTTTAAAATTTTGCTAAAAACTCTTTTTCCTCCCTAACTAGGTTTGTTAATATTTCAGGCTATTTTTGTAAGCTAATATGAAGAATAGAAAAACAAAGTTTAGTGATTGACAAAATAATGAAAAGTATATTGAAACTCAAATGTTCATTAATTTCCTCACATTAAGTATAGAACATTTCATTGCGTAAAAATAGGTTGGAACGAATCTCAATAGAGAATTTTCTAAAACTCCATTTGCATATACGTGTCTGCATTCCTAAGGGTGAATAATTATTTGTGTATCAATCCTTCTTTTGAATTTTCAGCCCATGTATTAGTTCACAATTAGATGAACTTCTCTGTCCACCAACAACAGTGGAAGGAAGAAATGATGAGAAGGCTCTTCTTGAGCAGCTGGTATCCTTCCTCAGCGGCAAAGATGAAACTGAGTTAGCTGAACTCGACAGAGCTCTGGGAATCGACAAACTTGTTCAGGTACTTATTCTGTTCTGTTTTAACTTTCCTCAGTTGCCAGGGATTGAACCCAGGGCCTCAAACATGTGAGACAGACGCTCTACAGTTGCATCATATCTCTGGCGACTGTTCCGGGATTATTTACTTTAATATTATTCTCTTTACTGGGGAACAGAATCTCAGAAGCTCCTCCTAAATCTAGATTTTTGTTATTACTACTTTATTTTTGGACTTAATTTCTCCTTCATTTATGTTAGTCTTCAATCTTTACTTGTTTTTTGTTTTGTTTTGTTTGATTTTTGGGCCACACCCAGCGATGCACAGGGGTTACTTCTGGCTCTGCACTCAGGAATTACTTCTGGCGGTGCTCAGGGGACCATATGGAATGCTGGGAGCCGAACCCAGATCAGCCTACGTGGAAGGCGCTGTGTCCTACTTGCTGTGCTATTACTGCAGCCCCATCTTCAATCTTTATAACCCATGATATTTCAACTTTATAGTTAGTATTTTTCAGACCAGGTTATAAGTTTAGTGTATATCATGATTAACATTTTGTATGCAACAGAAGAGTGTAAATACATAGTCATCAATTAAAAATGTTTAGTGCATAGAAAAAGAAAGTTGTTTCATGAAAAACTCTTCTAGTTTCACACACACTAGAGGTCACAATTTGAAACATACTTTATACAGTATACAAAATTTAAAGGCCATAATTATGACATTGTATTAAGTCAGCTATATATTTTTCTTCAAATAAGATTAAAAATATGGATCCTAAATTTGAGATAGAAACAATACCCTCATTTAAGATTCTGTTCTTGTAAAAACCTATCAAATGTACAGTTTATTTATTCTGTGCTTTGAAATGAAACTTCTGACTTCCTTTCATTAAAGTCCTTTGTTTTAATTGTGTTTTATTCTCTTCAGTGAGATTTTAAAAGATCTCAGTTCATCTGTTACTTTATTTCAAAAAGTAATGCTCCTAATTCCTAAAGGTAGCAAACTTTCAGAAAGTGACAAGAATTCAGTTTAAATATGTTATGATGAAACTTTCTAGAGCGTAAATATTCTCAGACTTAAGTTTAAAGAAAAGCAAGTGTTGTGTGGACAGAAATTTATCTCTACAATGTTCTGGCTTATTTTCTAACAGGGAGGCGGATTAGACGTATTGGAGAGGTTTCCACCACAACAAGCAACGCCCCCCTTGATGATGGACGAAAGACCCAACCTTTATTCCCAGCCTTATTCTTCTCCTTCACCGACTGCCAATCTGTCGAGTCCTTTCCAAGGCATGGTCAGGCAGAAACCTTCCCTTGGGTCGATGCCTGTTCAAGTGACACCTCCCCGAGGCGCGTTTTCACCCGGCATGGGCATGCAGCCCAGGCAGACTCTAAACAGACCTCCAGCTGCACCCAACCAACTCCGACTTCAGCTCCAGCAACGATTACAGGGGCAGCAGCAGGTGAGTCCCCCGGCTAAGCAGGCGGTGCTTGGTGCAGAGATGGTGAGTCCTCTGGGTAGTAGGAGAGCCTCATTGTCACACTCCAGTGTCACACCCACTCCCCAGAACGATCATAAAAGACTAAAAAACCAGCCACTGGTACACTGTCTCAGAGTCGCCCGTAGTTGGCATCTCTGCTCTGGGTGGGAACTGTCCCTTTATTGTACACAGGTACTCCATTTATGGGAGTCACCCACACCTCAGGATGGGAGGGTTTCTCAGTTCTTTTACTTTACAGGACTTACCTTTCTCTGTTCTATTTCCTAAATAAAAGTGTTTTACTTAAAAAAAAATAAATTAGGGGGCTGGAGAGGTATTGCAGTAGGTAGGATGCTTGCATTCATGCGGTTGACCCAGGTTCGATTCCTGGCACCCCATGTGATCTCCTGAACCCACCAGGAATGATCCCAGAGTATGTCTCTGAGCACTGATGAGTGTGCCCCGCCCTCACCCCCACAAAAAAGAAGGAAGGAAGGAAGGAAGGAAGGAAGGAAGGAAGGAAGGAAGGGACAAAAGAGAAAGAGAAAAAGTTCTTGTTCTTTTAGAACAATAATGAGTCACTTTTTTTCAGTTAAAGACTGCTGATTTCACAGCAAGCTGTTCAGGACCTCAGTCATGCCAGGTGTGTTCTCTACCACTGAGCCACGCCCCTACCTTTGTTTTGTGAGACAAATATATTTTAAATGAACATCATGTTATTAGATTAATAAAAACAAGCACTTCTATCAAGGAGATTATTTATGATTGTTACCATAGAAAATGGAGATTATGTTTGAAGTTGGAGTGATTGAAGCCTAATGATGTTTCTATCTTAATCACTTAATCACTTACCTTCCCGTTAGTTGTCGATTTGCTCGAGCGGGCGCCAGTAGCATCTCCATTTGTCCCTGTCGTGTGCTAGTGTAGCCCAATGGCATCTGTTCGCTCTGGGAACATGAAGAGCCTCAAACTGATCGTTCATGATCTTGACGAAGAAGTCTGACCATCTGGTAGGTGGGCGGCCACGCGGTCTTTTGACATCCCGTGGAATCCAGTCGGTAACAGCTCTAGTCCAGCGGTCGTCTTTAAATCTCATTACGTGACCAGCCCATCTGATTTTCGACACCTTGGCAAATGAGACAGCGTCCCTGATTCTTGATCGTCGACGGATGTCAGAACTCCGGATTCTTTCTCTCATTTGAGTGAAACGTGATATTCCAAGCATAGCTCTTTCTATTCTTCTTTGGGAGACCTGAATAGCGTTCTCATCTTGTTTGCGTAGGGCCCAGGTCTCTGAGGCATATGTTAATGCAGGAAGAATAGTGGAATCAAAGAGATGTGCCCGGAGCCGGAGGTTCTTCGTCCTCTTAGCTATTTCTTCAACGCTCTTGAAGGCGTTCCAAGCCGCTCTCTTCCTCCTGCGCAGCTCGGGTGCCAGGTCATTTGTCATGTTGACTTCTCGACCTAGATACACATAGCTGTTGCATTCGGAGATGGTCGTTCCCTTGAGAGCGAATGGGGCGTCAGGAACGAGACTGTTTCTCATAAACATTGTCTTCGTAAGATTCAGCTGTAGTCCTACCTTTCCACACTCACGGTCAAAGTCAGCCAGCATTTGTGCCGCTTGGCTGATATTTGGTGTTATTAAAACAATGTCATCAGCAAAGCGGAGGTGGTGTAGTTGCCGACCATCTGTTTTCACTTCCATTCCTTCCCATTCCAGTCGTTGCATGATGTTCTCGAGGGTGGCACTGAAAAGTTTCGGTGAAATGGTATCACCCTTCCAAACCCCTCTCTTGACATCAATGATTATTTCTTTGTAGAATGGTGAGATCCTGGTAGTGAATCCACAATACAGCTCACGGAGGATCTTGATGTATTGGGCTTGAATGCCCTGATTGGCTAGGGCTTCAATGACCGTTCCCGTCTCAACAGAATCAAAGGCCTTCTTTAAATCAATGAAAGTTAAACAGAGCGGCATCTTGAACTCCCGAGAAACCTCAATGAGCTTGGTTATTGTGTGGATATGGTCGATGGTGCTGAATCCTTTGCAGAACCCGGCTTGCTCGCATGATTGTCCTTCATCTAGTGTTCTGCCAATCCTATTTAGGATGACTCGAGTGAACAACTTGTAGATGACAGACAATAGGCAGATCGGGCAATAGTTGCCAATGTCATGGATGTCTCCCTTCTTGAACAGTAGTACGGTCCTACTGGTTTTGCATTGGGACGGAACCTTGCATTCAGACAGGTAGCGTGTGAAGAGCTGAGCCAGTTTATTGATGAGTACTGACGGCAGGTTCTTCAGGTGTTCAGGTCTGACCTTGTCTGGGCCGGGTGCTGTTCGTTTCTTTACTGATGAAATGGCATGTCGGATTTCGGAAGGGAGACCGTTGGGAATGACATACCCATCCTGTGAAATTTGGTATGTTGGCAAGTGGACATGGCTATCGAAGAGATTTGAGTAGAAGTCATGGATAATCTTCTCCATTGCCGTTCTGAAGGATGTGATGGATCCATCAGGACGTCAGAGGGCTGTCATCTTGGTCTTGTAGTTGGCGAAGGACAGGCGGGCGTTACGAATACTTTTCCCAGCTTCTGCTGCATCTACGCTATTCTGCTCTTCTCTCTTTGAGGTCTTCCTTGATCGCATCTCTGCACTGCTTTGCGAGCTCAGACGTTAGCTTGTGGTTGCCTGAGGCATGTGCCAAACCACGCTGGCGAATTAGCTCAAGAGTTTTCGAAGACAGACATTTTTTTGTGGCTATCTCTCTCGGCGTTCCTCGCACATTCATGGAGGTGCTGAACCAGTCGATCGTATTCCTCGTCAATGTTGTCAACAATGGCTTCTTCCCATGTTGCCGCAATAGTGCCAAAGAGCTCCCAGTTGGTTGGTTTCTATCTTAGGAGAACAAAAAAAAGGTAGTTTGGTAAAAGAGGCTTTCCCTGCTCCACTTCACTTTTCTTGCCCCCTTATCGAAGATTAGATGCTCGTATACTTGGGGGGGGACGTCAGTATATTCAACCCTGTTCCATTGGTCTACAGCTCTGCCTTTGTTCCAGTACCATGCTGTTTTAATTATTACTGCCTTGTAGTAGAGTTTGAAATTAGGGAGGTTGATTCCTCCCATTTTCTTTTTCCCAAGAATTGCTTTAGCTATTCGTTTAACAAAGTATGCTGGCAAAACTGGACGGCTATATGCAAAAAAAATGGGCTCAGATCTCTGCCTAACTCCATGTACAAAAGTAAGATCTAAGTGGATTAAAGACCTCAACATCAGACCGGAATCTATAAGATACATTGAGGAAAATGTTGGCAAAACCCTTCATGACATAGAAGCTAATAGTGTCTTCAAAGATGTCACACCGCTGGCCAAGCAAGTGAAAACAGAGATAGATAAATGGGACTATCTTAAACTAAGAAGCTTCTGCACCTCAAAAGAAACAGTGACCAAAATACAAAGACAGTCAACTGAATGGGAAAGGATATTCGCCAACTACACATCTGATAAGGGGTTAATTTCAAGGATATACAAAATACTGGTTCAACTCCACAAAAAGAAAACATTCAACCCCATCAAAAAATGGGGAGGTGAAATGAATAGAAACTTTGACAAAGAAGAAATCCGAATGGCTAAAAGACACATGAGAAAATGTTCCACATCATTAATCATCAGGGAGATGCAGATCAAAACCACAATGAGGTATCACCTCACACCACAGAGACTGGCCCATATCCACAAGAACAAAAGCAACCTGTGCTGGCGCGGATGTGGTGAGAAAGGGACACTCCTTCACTGTTGGTGGGAATGCCGACTGGTTCAGCCCTTCTGGAAAACAGTATGGATGATTCTCAAAAAACTAGAAATTGAGCTCCCATTTGACCCAGCAATACCACTCCTGGGAATATATCCCAGAGAGGCAAAAAAGTATAGCCGAAGTGACATCTGCAATTGTCTGTTTATTGCAGCACTCTTTACAATAGCCAGAATCTGGAAAAAACCTGAGTGCCTGAGAACAGATGACTGGTTGAAGGAACTCTGGCACATTTACACAATGGAGTACTATGTAGATGTTAGAAAAGACGAAGTCATGAAGTTTACATACAAGTGGTACTACATGAAAAGTATCATGTTAAGCGAAATGACTCAGAAAGAAAGGGATAGACATAGAAAGATTGCATTCATCTGGGGAACATAAAGTAACAAAATAGGAAACTAACACCCAAGTATGGCAGAGATTAGTACCAGGAATTTTACTCAATGACCCGGAGGACAACCACACATGTTAGGGGAAGGGGGAGCTCAGAAAGAGAAGGGAACACCAAATAAAGGGTGTTGGGAGGATCCGCCCATGATGGGAGAGCATGCTGAGGGTAGACTGTCGACCAAGCATGATTGCCACTCAGTGCCTCTTTTGCCGACCATGGCACTCAAAAGGAGAGAGAGGGAAATGCCCTGCCACAGAGGCAGGGTGGGATAGGGGCTGGGGGGGAGGGGATGCTGGGATCCGAGGTGGTGGGAAATGCGCACTGGTGGAGGGATGGGTGTTTGATCATTGTATAATCGAAACCCAAGCACAAAAATGTGTAAGTCTACAACTGTACCTCATGGTGCCTCACTATTAAAAAAATTTTAAAAAAAAATTTAAAAAAAGGTAGTTTGGGAGTCTGGGGCTTATGGGTAAGTTAAATCATAACCGGTAATGGATAGGCATAATGATATAAATACTTTAAATTGTATAAACCCCACAAGAGCACATAGAGGAATAGAGGAATAAGCATTGAGAACTAAAAGCAAATGGCTAAAAGTATTGTGTCTGATTGAGGTTGTAGATTGTTGCTTCTTGTGATGAATTCCTTCATGTGTTTTTAAATCTTACCCATGTTACTTTGATTTCTCTTTGAAAACTAAGAACTTTCTCCAGAGTCTTAGTAATTCAGGGAGAAAGAGAAAGAAGGGCACGAACTCTCTTAGAAAGGTCATAAGAATCAACTCTGAAGCAGAGAGGCAGCAGGCCAGAGCACATGCTTTGCATGTAGGAGGCCCAGATTTAATCCCCACATTGCATATGGTCTCCAAGCACCACCAGGGGTGACTCAAGCACTGAGCAGGAGTGACCCCTGGGCACCCCCAGGTGTGGCCCTGAACAGACAAATATAGTTTTGTTTTCTAATCCTAGTTTTAGCCTTAATTTATGGGAATTGACTGTCAAATCATTTATCCTTGTAAGCCTCTTACTCCTCATCTGTTAGGAGTCTGTAGGGCCAAGAGGTAGCTTAACAGGCTGGAGCACATGGTTTGCATGCAGCAGGCCCAGATTTAAACTCAGCACTGCGCGGTCTCCCAAGAAGTTACTCCAGGAACAACTCCCTATTCAGCACTAAGCCAGGAGTAGCTTCTGCACACCCCATGAACAGGTAAAAGACAAGCTACAGACTCTAGGAAGATACTTGGAATCCCATATAAATAACAAAGGATCAGTATCCAGAATAAGTACATGAGTTCATATATAATATCTCACTGGATTGATGTGCCAGGGATTGAACCCAGAACCTCATTGCAGTATCCCTCCCCACAAACTATTGAACACTTAAGGCACTCCTCCCACCACCAACACCCCCATTCCTTGCTTGATAAGGGCAGTCATAAGGCTTGTTTTCACTAAATGTTATTGGTTCCATTGTTTCCCAAAGTGGACAGTACCCTCCTTCAGGGGGGCGCTGTAGTGATCCAAGATGCAAAAGAGGGGAGCTTTCTGTTTTGTTTTGTTTTGTTTTTTTCAGAGTAACCCCTGGGCATCGCTGGGTGTGACCTAAAAAGAAAAAGTGAGCAAACAAAAGAATTATACTATTTAAAGATGAGAGTTGATCAATGATTATTCACATTGTCCTACAAATTTCTGTAGACTTTGTTTCTTGTTTACATATATATTGTAGCACTGTCCTCCCATTGTTCATCGATTTGCTCGAGTGGGCACCAGTGTGAGACTTGTTGTTACTGCCAGGTGACTTGCCAGGCTCTGCCATGTGGGCAGGATACTCTCAGTAGCTTGCCGGCCTCTCCAAGAGAGGGACGGGACGGAGGAATCGAACCTGGGGTTGGCCGCGTGCAAGGCAAATGCCCTACCTGCTGTGCTATTGCTCCAGCCCACATATATATTGATTTATATTAAATAGTATAAGATACAAAGTGTTTTGCTGTCATTATCATCAATTTATTTTACAAGTAAGTTATAAATTATAAAGTACCACATAAACACAAAATAACGTTTGTATTATTTGCATTATTATCTCTAAGAACAGTTTATTCATATATTGAGCAATTTTAGGGCGAGAGACTGCTGAGTGTCTGAGCTCGTGATCAGGCCCGGCTTGGATGCCCAGAATGTGGCCTCCAGCCACAGAGCCGGCAGTAGCCCCCAAGCACCTCCAGGTGTGGCCTGAAAATCAAAAAGAAATACAAAAAGCTATAGATTTTATATCAAGAAATATCACTCCTGAGGATGATTGCTTTGGGGTGCTTGAGGGGGACAGTGGTGGTTCTCCTAAGCATTGTTCAGGGGACTCTTATCAGTACTTAACCACAGGGCCATAAAGTTCAATGCTCAGGCCCTAGGACATGGTACTGCTCAGGCCCCGCAGTGCTAAGGGCCTCCAGGGCTATACTGGGTGATGCTTGGGCAGGCCATGTGGTCCTTGGGAGTGGATATGGGGTCAAACCATGGCCTAAGCTGGGGTCAAACCTCTGACCCCTATCTATCTCCCTGGCCCCAAGGATACTTATTTTATTAACTGGAGAAGTTAAAGCACGTGGATGATCTGTAAGCCTAACATAGGCAGAATCTTACAAACTAGTGTTCCATAATGAAGTCATTGAGGAGAAAAGTGTGCAATGAATATATGTAAGCAAAACGTTTGGTGACCAGTACATTTCGTAGTATACCCCCTTCTTGTACTTTGACCAATTAAAGATGCATAGAATCACTGCAATAAAGAAATCTGTTTCACCTTGTGTAACCCATCATTTCCAATACTTAATACAGCACAGCATGCTATTTTCCTGGCACATCTATTAATATCCTGCAGAACAATGTTCTTTAGAACACCAATTTGGGAAATGCTGGTCTAAAGTAATTACTTCTTCTCATTAAATAAATAGTCCATTTTCTCAGACCATTTGCCTCTTACATAATTCTCTCTAGCTAATGAAATCACATTGGGTCTTCTCCAAATATGTATCCATCAAATAGGGACCCTGCAAATTTGAAATGCGTCAACTTTTCCATTTGTCTTCTTATTAGACCATTGTAAAATGTGCTATTATATATTTACTTTTTCATTCACAATAGTTTAAGACCTAGGCTGATGTTTCTTTTCTCTCCAATATACACAGCTGTGTATAGATACATATATATATATATATATGTACATCAGTAAATGTTCTGCCTTTTAAAATACTCTGCTATATTCAGTGTTCTATAGGCAGTAAAAAAAATTGATCAATTTTTTTAAATTGACAACAAATAAACATGGAGGAAATTTTTCCACACTTTGTTTTTTGTTGTGGTGGTAGGTTTTGGTTTTTGTTTTTTCAAGCTGCGCCCAGTGGTGCTCAGGACTTTCTCATGACTCTGCTCTCAGGGATCACTCCTGGCAGGTTCAGGGGGCCCATATAGGGTGCCACGGATTAAATCCATGTCAGCCGCGTATAAGGCAGGTACCCTACTACTACTACCTGCTGTACTATTTCTCTGGCTCACACTTTCTTTGTATATTTGTTTTTTGTTTTGGAGTCACTCCTGGAAATGCTCAGGGATTACTCCTGACTCTGTATTTCAGGATCACTCCTGGCAGCGCTTGCGGGTACCATATCTAAGTTGCCTGGGATCAAACCCAGATAAGCTGTGTGCAAGATAGTACCTGTTGTACTGTGTTTCCAGCCCCAAAATTTTATTTTTAAACTTCTGGTGTCTCTCTAAAGGCCCATGTTCCATATTTCTACAAAATGTACTATCGTTTCCATTTTTCTCTAGTTGATACACCAGAATCGGCAAGCTATCTTGAACCAGTTTGCAGCAACTGCTCCTGTTGGGATCAACATGAGATCAGGCATGCAACAGCAAATTACACCTCAGGTAACGGAAATCCAGACTCTGTTAGTACTCTAACCCAGAACATGTTTATTAAAATGCTAAATGTCTTTTAAATAGTCTATGAACTGATCTTTTTTTTGGTGTGTAGTTTTCCTCTTAAGTGTATTTGCAATCAACTTACCGATATTTCATCTAAAGCTGTGGGTTCTCATTGATCCTATCGTCATTGCTGTTACAAACCAGATGACTGAGGGGGAAATACTTAGGTTGTGCTGAATAGTACCAGTACTTAGAATCTAGGATTGGAAACTGGGTGAATAGTACATGATATCTTATCAAAACTCAGCCTAAGGGGCTGGAGTGATAGCACAGCGGGTAGGGCATTTGCCTTGCACGCAGCCGACCCAGGTTCAATTCTCAGCATCCCACATTGTCCCCTGAGCACCGCCAGGAGTAATTCCTGAGTGCAATGCCAGGAGTAACCCCTGAGCTTCGCTGGGTGTGACCCAAAAAGCAAAAAAAAAAAAAAAAATGCCCAGCCTCAGTGTGAAATTCTCTTAACTGTCTTGTGTTCTTTGTTTAGTCTGAGCATCTGATTTTTTTTTTATTTTAAATAAATACATATGAACCTAAAGCCAGTGAAACTGAAACTTTAAACAAAAGGAACTCGGTCCCCTTCTAAGTGTTATCTACTATTCACTCCTTATGTAACTTCCACACATCATTTAAATAATGAAATAAAGATTAGAAAAAATCCAGTGGAATTCTACCACATCAGTTTTCTTTTCTGTTTATAGTCTCTGCTTAACTCCTCCATATCATACATACTTAAATGCCTTTACTTCAACTTTTCTTTTTAAGTGAAGCAAGGTAGTTTTTTTATTGAACTTACTTAGAAATATGTGGGGGAAGAGGGGGGGGATGTGTTTAAATGAGCATGGGCAGCAAAAGAAACGGACTAGTGGGGTGCATATTCAAGAGGATATAGGCTTGAAGAGCAAGCCTTCAACCACATTTATGTGTTAACCAAGTTGACGCAAACATTTGAGAGATGATTCAAATGAAACTCCTCTTTTCTCTGTAAGATGGATGAGACAGACTTGGGGCAAATACTAAATCAACACTAATCTCAGGGTCACAGATTCATGTTGATAGAAACCGCCATTTGCAACAAATACTGTCATCCTCATTGAACAGAATCCAGTTTCTCATCTTACAGATCTCCTCAGTGGTTAGCTCTTACCACTCTTTTTTAAGGGTAAAATATAAGGAAATGATAGTCTCACTTTTGGAATCTATGTATGTTGCTGTTTCTTCTAGATTGGACCACATTTAAATTGCTAGTGTAAGGGCTGGAAAGCTAGTACAGAGGTTAAGGTGCTTGCCTGCACTTAACTGATTCCAGTTCAATCCCCAGCACCATATATGGTTTCCTGATATAGTCTCCCGAGCATCCCAGTGGCACAGAGCCGGGAGCAAGCCCTGAGTACCACAGGGTGTGGTCCAACACCACCCCTCAATTGCAGGTATAATTTGCTGTGTCAGGAGGCAATTACACAGGGCCTCACACATGCAAAGCAAATGTGAGCAAACTCTCCATTGAACTCTATCCTGGTCATGCAAGTATAGTTTAATTTAATGGAGCTGTATAAATCAGATCCTTAATATGAACTGATATATACCGTGTCACTTTGCAAGTTAGCACAAAAAATGATTTCAACCTAAATTTGTCACTTCTTCTCCCTTCCATATTATACATCAAATGCACACTCCAGGGCCAGGGCAGTAGCTAAAAGGTTGCTGTGGTTTGTGCAAGGGGAAGCCCTCAGTTCTAGTCTAGTACCGCATGCCTTGCCCACCCATCCCTGCTGCCGCCCCCCCCCCCACACACACACAGCACAGCACAAGATGACACGCTCGTTGTCTGCTGAAGGATGTGTCCCCCTACCCCACTGGAAAAAATAAAATAGACACCTACTCTGATGCCTAGAACCTACCACAACAATGATATAAAATAATCTTTTCTATTTGCTTATTATTTTATTGCTAATTTTCTTTTCAGATAATTTGGTATTAGATTCTCAAATTCTAATTTTTTTATTAGTGAATCACCATGAGATACAGTTACAGGCTTACAAACTTTTGTGCTTGTATTTCAGTCATACAATGGTCGAGTACCCATCCCTCCACCAGAGCCCATTTTCCACCACCAGTGGACCCAGCATCCCTCCCACCACCCCCACCCCGTCCCCCACCACCCTGCCCCACCTCTGTGGCAGGGCATTCCTTTTTGCTCTCTCTCTCTCCCTAATTCCTTTTTTCAAAAGTGGTATTTGCAGGTTGTTTTCTGCTCAGAGTGTAAAGGTAGTGCATTTTCATTATACATAATTTGGAAACTACAGAAAAGTATAATGTGGAAAACTTAAATCACCTATAATCATATTTCATTCATATTTATGAAGGAGAATAAATTACCTCAGTGAGAAAAGGGGAAAGTAGGTTTCTCTGTAATAGAGAAACACAGCCAGCTTTTGGAAATGAGAAAGAAGCTTAATCTGATGAGAGAAATTATCAGGCACCTTCTTTTCCATGGTTTTCATGTAAGGCTTAGCAGTTTTCATGGCATGTTTGTCAATACTAATAAAAATATATACTCTGTGACTTTCTTTAGTTGTATGTGACTTTTAATTGAGAATTTGAATTTAACCGCACTTGTGACAGCTATTGTTTTAGCATTCCTCCACGACTTTTCATCTGTCAAATGTACGTCATTCATTTTCTCCGTGATTATTGTTTGAGTTTCTGTTCCTGTTTCGGTATCCCTGGCACACTGATCATTGCTGTAGTCTTTGTTGCCCCCAGCTACGAGACTTTCTCCTGTCAATGTTCTAAGACCAGTAGTTCTTATAATATGAATAAGCAAGGGCCTTTTTTCCCTTCCCTTGCAGCCACCGCTGAATGCCCAGATGCTGGCCCAGCGCCAGCGGGAGTTGTACAGTCAGCAGCACCGGCAGAGGCAGCTGATCCAGCAGCAGAGGGCCATGCTCATGAGACAGCAGAGCTTTGGGAACAACCTGCCTCCCACGTCTGGACTGCCCGTTCAAATGGGGAACCCCCGTCTGCCTCAGGGTGCCCCACAGCAGTTCCCCTACCCACCAAACTATGGTACCAACCCAGGAACTCCCCCTGCTTCTACCAGCCCATTCTCACAACTGGCAGCAAACCCCGAGGCAGCTTTGGCCAACCGCAACAACATGGTGAACAGAGGCATGGCAGGCAACATGGGAGGACAGTTTGGCACTGGGATGAGCCCGCAGATGCAGCAGAACGTCTTCCAGTACCCCGGATCAGGTACGAGGGCCCGCTTGACCTGGCATGCACGGGCGCAGGCCCTCTCGTGTGCGTTGCGGTTCACTGACATTGAGACCTGGGTCTGAACAAGAAAGAAGCTGATGTGAGTGTTAGGAGAGCCAGGCTGCAGACTCACATCTCACCACTAAATAGTTGAGTGGTTTGAGACTTGTTTAGTCTTTGTCTTTGTCTTTGGAGGGTTGGTTTTTGGGGTGTGTGTGTGTGTGTGTGTGTGTGTGTGTGTGTGTGTGTATTTGTATTTGGTTTGGGGACATTGCACTGTAGCACTGTCCTCCCGTTGTTCATCGATTTGCTCGAGCGGGCCCTGTAACATCTCCATTGTGAGACTTGTTGTGACTGTGTTTGGCATATCGAATACGCCACGGTGATTATGATATGGATTGGGCTGGAGCGATAGCATAGAGGGTAGGGCATTTGCCTTGCACGCTACCGACCCCGGGTTCAATTCCTCCTTCCCTCTCGGAGAGCCCAGCAAGCTACCGAGAGTATCCCGCCCACACAGCAGAGCCTGCAAGCTCCCTGTGGCGTATTCGATATGCCAAACACAGTAACAACAAGTCTCACAATGGAGATGGTACTGGTGCCCGCTCGAGCAAATCGATGAACAACAGGAGGACAGTGCTACAGTGCTATGGTATGGAGAGACAGGGCTTACTCCTGTCTCTACTTAGGGATCACACCCCGGAGAGGCTTGGGGAACCATATGGGGTACCAGGATTTAATCCAGAGCAGCCACGTGCAAGGCAACCACTCTACCTATTGTACTCTTCCTCTGTTTTATTTTGTTTCTTTGTTTTTTGTTTTTTTGGGTTTTTTTTTTTTTTTTGGTTTTGTTTTTAGGGGGTGTGACTTTTTTTATTGGGTATTGGGGGGATATAGTTACACCCAGTGGTGCTTAATCGGATGGGGGTGTGATCACACCACAGTACTCGTGGACAACCCAGGGCCCTCTCCTGCTAGTGCTCAGGGAACCATGTGGTGCCAGCCTCCTGCATACAAAGCCTGCTTTAGATTTAGCTATCTTCGATAGCTAAGATGATAAAATTAGAGGAAGGATCCATGAAACTCTTGTCAGACTCTAAACTTTTGGTTTGGGGCGTCCCCCAGGCCAGACTCGGGAGCCCAGGGCTGACTCAGCTGTGCTCAGTGCAATAGTGCCAAGCCAACAGTTAGGTGCTCAGGCCTGGTGATGCCTTGTCCCACACGCTGGGAGCCACCAGGATTCAGGACTCCATCCAGAGGTGTGTGGGGTGCAGTGTGTCTCTGGGGATCAACTTGGGGCCTCCACATTGGCAAGGTTTGCACTCCACCCGCTTTTGCTATTTCTTTGACCCCTGGCTCTATAATTTTTAACATTTTGCTTCAAAGCACATTCTCTTATTCCTTTTTCTCATGAATTTGTGTAAAAAACTAATGAAAGTCCTCTTAGACAATGCTTATAAGAACATTGACCTAATTTAGCCGACAGTTTTTCCATTATGCTGATGGCTTTGCTCGTTTGTATAGGGATCATCACTCTTCACAAAGTACACCCTTGATGTCCCCGCTCCATGCTGCTCCGACGGATTTGCTGCTTCTCTGCTTTATGAGTTAGGTCTTGGACTTTCAAAGGGTTTTTGATTTTGCATTCTTTCATTTACCCTGTTTATCTTCCGTTCTCTATTCCTCAATCATGGTGTCTTCTCACACCTGGAGATTCTAATAGTAGCAATAAAACACACATGATTTCTCCACCACATTTAATCAAACTTTGATACAGAGTTAATGGCAGATTCATGAGGACCGATTGAAATAAATACCTTGATTTCATAAGTGAAAGAAAAGGTAAATTTAAGCTTGCTTAAGAATGAATTTCAATGAGAAGACAGCTATTCGACTTGAATAAAATGAAGTAATGTAGAGATTTTTGACATGGCAATATGCTTATCAACTTTGACGGCTAAATCAATTTAGACTTTCATTCTGACGGCAGTGAGTGCTAGAATCCTTTGACTATTAAATTAAGTATCTAGAGAGAGTTGTGTCAGCTTGCACCAGAATTCTCGAAGCATTTTAATCAAAATTATGCCACATCAGTTTCTTTGTCCTCAAGACAATGAGCCTTTCTGGCAGGCTTTTATCTCTACACTATCTCTGTGAGCAAGAAAAGCATTAGAAAGTCATCATTTAGTTAGATTGTCTGAACAGGAGTGGCCTTCAAACGACTTGTATTTCTATGTGTGTTACACTCCGTGTGTGCGTGCATACAGAGGGAAAAAATCTTTAACAAGGTCTTTTCACTTTATCCTATAGAAGAACTTGTACCCGCAATCAAGGACGTATTGTTTTCTGTTTCCTTGTGCCTCTTCCAAAGTGGCAGCCTCACCAAAACAGCAGATCCATTCTTAGCAGCACTCAGGATCCTGCTGCAGATAAATTAAGGAATTTATCTCATTCAGTGGGGAGAAAACACCTACCTATCAGAAAGCCAAACATTAACTCCTCAAGGATTCTTTCTTTGAAAAAAAAACAATAAAAGTAGGATTTCTATCCATTTCCAGTCATGCTTCTGCCAGCACTTCTCAGGAAAGCCAAGAAAGGAAAACTCCCTATTCTGCTCCCATTCTGGGTCAGAGCTCCCTCGAAAGGCAGTGCTTCTGAGCCACCCTCTGATTCTGGTGACAAGCACCCCTTCAGCTGTGTGGGTGCTCTTTGATGCACAGCATGACATGAAGGGGTACGGTGTTGCGACACTGAGGGGTAGAGTTTCCTCTGTGCTGGCAGGAAAGCCAGGTGTGCCAACCACCCCCTACGACAAGTGCTCTGCCTCTGATACCTAGATTTTTCTTGCAATTGACAAAATTTTCACGAAATGAGAACTTTTCTCCGATCAAGTCAGCATTCATCCAACAAGGCAAAATTGAAACGTGGGGTGCATTGGAGAGAGTCGTCCTTTTATTCAGTGAGAGGCTGCAGTGAAATGGCTGCACCCTCAGATCTTCCATCCGCTGCTTCAAAATAGTAGGTTGAAATTTGTTTTTTGAGCACCCCGGCGTTGAAAGAGATAGTATTTTTCATTTCTTCCGCGGTTTCGTGTCACAGCCTCATTCCAACATGACCAGCAACCTGGAAGAAGATGTCTAATCCAAGGTTTCGATGCAGATGCACATTGTAGGAAAAATTTGACCTTTTCAAATCAGGCATTCAAAACAAAAGAGCAAATCACCACATGTTTTTGTAAATAACAATCATACTCATTTATTTATATATCATCTTTGCCTGGTTTCACACAATAGAGTTTAATAGTTTCAAAAACCATGTGACTGGGGCTGGAAAGATAATACAGCAGGTAAGGCTCTTGCCTCGCACTCAGCTAACCTGAGTTGATCTCCGACACCTCATATAGTCTCCTGAACCCTGAGCTGAGACCCAGGAGTAATCTCTGAGCAAGCACTGCTGAGGGTGGCCCCAAAACAAAAACAAACAATCCACCCTATAACCTATACAGAATGGAAGTATGCCGAAACCTGACCCTTGGCAGAAAGTGTTTGCTGCTATCTGTTAATTGATGAGAATAAGACCAAAGGATGGCTACATTAGCTTTGCTTTGGTCCTTCACTTTGGTATATCTCAAGTTAATGTAGCCGCAACGTAGATGAAGAAACATAAAAGTAGATGGAGGAATATGTGAGCTCCAGAGTAGATGAAGGAATAATAGCAGGGAATGTTGTTGCCTTTTATTTCTAAAGACAGAAAAAGTTTCAGATTGTCATGCCATAATGAAACGTACACAAGAACGGAATGAAATGTCAACCTTGTATTTCATTCTGTGATCATGGTAAAAGTGAATCTGAGGGAACCTGCATCATGAATTCCTCAAAGTCCATTCCAAGTGCTTCTTTGTACAGTAAACATCTGAGTTAAGTCTCCTGAGCTTCTCAGTAACCTCCAGAGGCCAGTAGCTCTGTTGTCCATCTCTAACCCATAGCTCTTGTCTCCTGTGTAGAGCTGCCTGCTGGACAGACATGCTTGAATTTTACATCAGTACCCCAAACTCAACTTGTCCAAAACTAGACTCACCAGTTCCACTTCCTCTTCTCTTCATATCTCCATATTCCAACTCCAACAAACTTCTCTAATTCCAAGGCAGAATACATACCTTGCTCTTTCACTTCACGGTCTTTGTATGTCCTGTATTCTTTGTATATCCTATATTCAAGGTTTCCTGAGCACTGGTTGAGAGATGCCCTCCCCCAAATTAGAAGCAGACAAATATTTTTGAGGGTCACAGTACTAGTGTGTCCTGGGTTCAATCACTTAAGCTGACCCCCACCCCAAATTTTCAAATCTAGATTAAATATAAAGCTATGTTTACAAAGACACAGTAAGGGCATAGAAATACATTATGCAAAAAAAAAAAAAAGACACACATTATGCTATAATGATAAAGGAAAAGGCGGGTTATAAAATTATGCAAGACCTCATAGAAGATTGAAAAGAGCTTGATTAAATTATGGATCAATTAAGCATGACTTTTTCCCACTCCCTTTATAAGTTTCCCAAAAGTTATTTAACTTTAAAATATATTTTATCGGGGGGTAAAAAAGAACAACATCAAGTTGTTGTTTCATAACAGAAACCATAAAAAGAACCTCAGTTTTAATTTTTTTAAATTGTCATGGACTTGGATTTTCTCTTTTCACCAAAATGGAGAACAAGGACTGGATTAATTCTTCCATTTGAAACAAAAACCTCAAAATACAATAGAACAGCAGTTTTCAAAATTGTCCATGTGATGCTTCAGGAATGAGGAGCCAACAGGACTCGGGGTTCCTGAGTTCATGCCTGGAGTCCAGAGTCCTGAACCGCGAGGATAGCTCATGGTAAAAGGGAAGAGGACCGGGGAGACAGAGATAGATACAGAGAACATATGTGCAGACGCTCAGGCCCAGGCCTAGGAAAACCAGCTGAAAAGATTAGAGGGAGAATAATCATAAAAATTCACACCAGACTCCTTCATCTGACACCTGCCAGAATAGAAAACCTCTTAAAACATAGCTTGTCAAGTAGAATACTCCAAAGGAATTTTGCCTCAATAGTAAGGGCAAAATAAAAATGCTAGACTAAAACCTGTTCTTGTCTTCGTTGGCATAAGACCCAGCTTAACTGTTACCATGTAACCTAAGAACTCCAAAGAAATAATGTTAATATTTCAAAGAAAATTTTTTTATTTGGGGGCCATTGACTTATTCCTAAGCACAGGGATCTCTCCTGGCAGGCTCCGAGACCATATGGGGTGCCAGGGATCAGACATGGGTTGGCCATATGCAGAGCAAGCACCTTCCCCACTGCACTCTCCCTCCGGCCCAGTTAACCATTTGTAAAAGCCATGAACTTAACTGCGGTCAAAACAGTGTGCCATCAGTGTGAGTATAGACATAGATCCTATCAACAGAATGAAGTGTAAAATTAAACCTTATTTTTATGGTCAGTTGATTTTCAACACAATGGCCACTGATAATCATTATTTAAGATAAAAGAAACAAGAGTTGTGCGGGTGTGAGAGTACAGCAGTTAGGGCTCTTGTCTTGCACATATTCAACTTGGTTAGAATTCCCAGCACTCCATGTGGTCCCCTGAGCACTGCCCAAAGTGGTCCCAGAATGCAGGACTAGGAGTCAGCCTTCAGCCCTTCTGAGTATGGCCCAAAGGCCAGGAAAAAAATGGGAAAAAAAGAGAAAGTTGACAACAGAATGGTTGTGACTCAAAAGCTTTAAGTGAAAAAATGCCAGACTCAGAAGACCCAGGTGTGTTCAATTTCACCAAAAAAAAAAAAAAAAAGCAGGGAGTGTGATAATAGAGACAAAAAAGCAGCTGAGTGCTTTCCAGAGATAAGTAGAAGTCGGAGACTCAAGAGATTTTAACTAGGGGACCAGAGAGGTAATACAGGAAGCTAAAGCACATTCCTTGTGTGCAGCTCACCCAGACTTGATCCCCAGCACCAAATACGGTTCCCTGAGCCTGAAACCAGGAGTTAGCCTTATGTACCACAGGGTATGGCCTCAAAGCAAAAATAATTTCATGTAAGCAAAAAGAACGGAACAATAAAATTGTACATAATTCTGGTGTCCAAATTCACATCCTATTGACTTGAAAATATTCTCTAGATGCCGCAGGTTTGACTTTTGCTTTACCTGCAGCTGACCAGGTTTGATCCTTGACACAGCATATGGTCCCCTGTGTCCTGCCAGAAATGATTCCTGAACACAGCCAGGAGTAAGCCTTGAGCACATCTGGGTATGCCCCCCACACACACACAAAGAAAAGAAAGTATTCTTCCAAGTTTATTTCATATGTTTATTAATCTAATTTTTTGTAATGAAATTTCATATGTTTATTAATTTATTTCATGTTTATTAATCTAAATTTTTGTAATGAAATTTCCTCCTATTTTTTAGAGACTGAAGTTTTTTATTCCCTTTGCTGTTGATTAGGATATTTGTAAAGATTTTATGATTAGATTGTTGTGGGGAGTTTTTTCTTTCATGGTGTTAGTATACATTTATAGTCTAGGGCCCGAGGAGATGGGCTCAAAGAACTGGAGTTTGTGCTTTTCATGTTGGAACTCCAGGTTTGATCTCCAACACCACCTGGTCTCCCAGGTCAAAAGCAGAGACTAAATAAACAAGTGTATTGTGTATAGTGTATAGTATATAAATTATTTTGTGTCAATTTGCAGGAATGGTTCCCCAAGGTGAGGCCAACTTTGCTCCATCTCTAAGCCCTGGGAACTCCATGGTGCCGATGCCAATCCCTCCTCCTCAGAGCTCTCTGCTCCAGCAAACTCAGCCCACTTCTGGGTACCAGTCACCAGAGATGAAGGCCTGGCAGCAGGGAGCGATGGGAAACAAGTAAGGGGGCGGGGTGTTTTTTTGGTTCATCTGTGTTGTCTCGGCTACTGTATAGCACCTTAGCGCCTTCTTGTTCTTAATATATTGTTGGCTGTTTGCACACATAGAGAACTAAGTTTTATGTTACCAGCAAAGAAAAATATCAACTAAGAAAAAACAAGTCATTTTAAAAGTAAATTTATGTATGAATAGTGAAATGGTTTCAAGCTGTCCACCTTTTCAGTCTCACCCCAGCACACCTGAAGAGTACGATTCATTACTATAAATGACAGACAGAAAAATGGATACTTTTTGTCTTTCTTTATAGAAAGCCTTCAAAATCTAAAGCAGAGTGGCAGGCATTAGAGTTCAGCAGAGTAGAATAGTGGCATACAATTTTTACTCTTTAAGGTCTCTTTGAAAGAGTTCTTAGGAACTGCAAAGGTTTTTAAGGCTTCTCAGGACAGTCTGCCTGATCCAACTTTGAATCCCTCGATTTCCAGTGGCCTCATCGTGCCCATTTTGCTCAGAATTACCTCACAAAAGTAATTCTACCCCCCCATCCTGACTGCTGAACTTTTCACACATCACTTGAGCTTTATAAAGGTTTAATTTGGTTTTGTCTTGGTTCTAATGACAGGGAAGCCGTTTGATCTGACAACATAATAAGTAAGGCAGTTAAAGTTGAAAACTTAAGACCATAGTCTCTTAAAGTTCATTCAAAGGTGAGAGAGGAAATCTTTCTGTTGGAAACTGTGTAGCTCTCAATGCAGATTGTGTGTAAATTAGATCGAAGAGGAATTGACAATGTAATGCAAGAAGAATTGAGTCTCCTTAATATTCTCTGATCCTAAAGTCACTTACATCCCCTGATGCATCACTGTAATTCCTCCTTTCCAGAAGTACTCTGTTCCCTTGCCCAGACCTCTCTCTCTTGTACCTTCCAGAATACCCGCTAGGGGCTGGAGTTGTAACTCAGGGGTAAAGCACATGCCTTGCTTATATGAGACCCTGGCTCTGATGCCCGGCACCTCTCTCCACCCCTAAAAAATCCGAAACAGGGCTGGGGAGGAAGCACAAAGGACTGGTGCTCGTGCTTTTCATGGGGGAAGCCCAGGTACCATCCCGTCCCCCACATGGTTCCATAAGCACCATGGGAGTGACGCTCCGCCAAACAGCAGGGCCGGAGTAGCTCCTTAGTACTGTCAGCTGTGACCCCAGAACAAACAAAAAGCTCAACTGATTCTTACTGGAATCCAGCTGAACTCCTGCTCCAGAGCTACAGCATCGTGACTTGGGTCTGAGTGTGATCTTACAAAACACCGACACATTAACGTATCTGTACCCCTTTACAGTTCTTTTCCTTCGAAGCTGTGTCGCTTCCTATCCTCTGGCCCCCTACCGAGCAGGTGCCTTCCATTTCTACCACTCAACCAGAACTATTTGAATCAAGGTCATTAATCACCCCTGGAGTGCCAGACGCCATGGCCATCAGTAACATTTGACATATTTGCGCATTCCTATTTTTTTCAAATGTTTGGCAAGCTCCCCGTGACATATTCGATATGCCAAACACAGTAACAAGAAGTCTCACAATGGAGACGTTACTGGGCCCGCTCGAGCAAATCGATGAACAACCGGAGGACAGGGACCCACTTCTTTCCGTTATTTTTATTCCCCTTTTTGTGGTTGCTGTGGCTGGAGTTGGCACATACTTGGTGAGGAAGCACCAAAGATAACACACATCCTATGGTGGCAGCACCTGGAATTGTAGCCACCGTGACATCAGGATCACACTCTGTGCGTGTGTGGCAGTGCCTGGGATCAAAACTCGTGGCCTCAGGCTTGTTTTGCTGCTGAGCCATCCCCCACCTTGACCATTATTCTTTCTTGAAGCTCACTATTCATTTAGTTTCTGGAAGAGCTCTCTCTTAAAAAAAAAAGAAAGAAAGAAAAGAAAAGAGAGAGAGAGAGAGAAAGAAGAAAGAAAGAAAGAAAGAAAGAGAAAAAAAGAAAGAAAGAAAGAAAGAAAGAAAGAAAGAAAGAAAGAAAAAGAATGAAAGAAAAGGTGGCTTTCGGTTTTTCAGCAGGATCTTCCTCATCCCTCTGGCCTTATTTGCAGGCCTCTGCTCATTCTAGGACCTTGTTGCTATATTAGATGTTTCCTGCAGTCTTATTACAGGAAGTGCCCTGTATGTGTATCACCCCTGCATTTAAATTTCAGGCCAGATTTCTCCCCCCTAGTCACTATATTCTTAACTGCCCAATCAGCATCCCTACTAGAAGTCTAGTAGGTATTTCCACTTAATATGGCAAAACTCCAAACCCTGCTTGTCTCCCTGGTCTATTCTTCCAGTTATTTAAAGGCAAAATCTTTTCTTTTTCTCTCACATCTAGCAAATAAGCAAATCATGTCAGTCTCTCAGCAGCTGTCACTTCTCACCTGTTCCAGTTGTACCCATTCATGCACGCCACCATCATCTTTTTCCTGGGCCAGTGTGACCTCCTGTCTCCCTGTTGCCATCCCAGCCCACTGCAGTTTAATCTCTGCATCGTAGCCAGGAGTACAGCTTTCAAAACAGCACTCTCCAACTTACTCACAATACAATACAGGGCCTACATAATCCTGCTCTTGGACATCTCTCTGACCTCAGCTGCTATTCTCATCACTCCCTTGGCTGCACTGGCTTCTGTTTATTCTTCTGTTCCTCAGCTGTGCCAAGTACATTGCAAACTCAGGACCTTTGCATTTTTTAATCCTTCTGCCCGGAATGTTCTTCCCTAGTGGCCACATGGTTTGCTCCCTCTGCAAGTCTCTCCTTAAATGTCACCTTATTAGACAGATATATTAAATGCCATGTTAAACCTCCCTTGCCATCATTTGTAAACAACATCATTTCCCTTCAAAGTGCTTATTAGAGTTGACATATAACCTGTTTATTTATGGTCTTCCAAATCCAACTAGCATAGAAGATTGTTAGAGCAAGGACTTGGTTTACTTCTGTATGAGGATTCTCAATTAGAGAAACAATACACATCTTTTGAACAAAGGAATGCAAAGATTCCCTATTCCCAAGTCATTTCTTGAAATCACTTTCAAATGTGAGCTTGTTTGCAATGAGATTAGTGGCAGAGTACATATCACTCAGGTCTGAAGACCTAGGTTTGATTCCCAGTGCACGTGCACACACACACACACACGCACTCAAATATGGACAAGTTTTTGTTGTACCTTAGTAGATTCTGTGAAATTTGACTTTCCCAAGTCATTTGAGAAAGGAAATAAGTATCACCAGCTCTTCACACTGACATTCACACTTGCTTCTTTGGCTCATTTGGCTCATGGCTTGTTGGTCAAAGGAGGCTGTGCATGCATTTTAGGGCTAGGGACTGTTTGGAGCACAGTGAGGAAGTCTGTTTGGTGACGAGAATACATCAAAGAGAATTAAAGCATGAGACAAAGAATCATTACGTTGAATCACGCAGTAGCATTCAGAGATGCTATTGGATGATTCTCTTTGTATTGTCACTTTGGCGACAAGAGAAATATCTGGTGTGATTTGAAAGCGGACCCAGCCCTGCCGTGTCGCACTAGTCATGAGGGAAGTGAGTGTTAAAGACTGTTCCCCAGCCCTTTCTTTCTCGGACTCCCTTGACCAGGAGCTCCTTCCTACCTCTTCATTTCCTTTAGTAGCTATGGGAATCTACTTGGAGGGGAAAGTCTTCATCATTCTCTCCCAGCCATCCCTCTGGACTAGGAGCTACCAAATGTTAATCTGCTAGCCTAGTGCTAACCTGAGAAATAGTGATAGCTGCCGGCAGGTGAATTGGGAAAGTGGGGTGAAAAAGGAGCCCTTCATGTATCGGGCCTACGAGACAAATGAACCCCACAGTCCATGTCAGGAGGTGGAACAGTAATTCCGACTGCAGGAGGGCTTGTTCTGCTTCCTGTGTTGAAAGAAGCTAAAACAGAATGATTGGGAGAGGCGGTTTAAAGGAGCTTCAGCTAAAAGACAGTTCCAAATATAAATTTGAAAGGAAACTAAATCCGAAACTTTCCACGTGGTATGACATCATCGTGGCCCTTGAAGCTTGTGAAAGCGTTTACTCGTATAGCCTCCCCAGTGAACCCATTAGTTGACAGATGAGCACTGTTGAAGCAGAAATGTTCTCATTAGGAAACAGGCAGGAAACTAAGATTCTTATCCTTACCTCTCATTGTGACCACTCTGCCTCGCAAGCATACACCCTGTGTAGGGATGAACAGACCACAGAGAGGTTACTGACCGTTCTGGGCATAGGATTTGTGAGCATATTTTATAAGTATGAAGGAAATTTGATGCTTTCTTCAGATACTTTTTCTCAGCGTGTTCATTTTAATGTGATTAATCTACTGGAAGCTATAAATGTCAGTTCATCTTGCTTAACTCCCAAACTCTAGCAAGGAATAAATAAGTTATTGACTGACAAGGTGAATAATTGTTTACGTCAAATTCTCCAAATTCCAGATAGGTGGAAATTTTCCAGCAGCTTTATGATGATAATCATAAAACATTTGGTGTTCTGCAGAACTTGGCAAAAAACACAGTTCATACAGTTATTTTTCAGTGTGTATATCTGTATCACTGAAATTTCAGGGGGAGGTTTAAATAGAAAGTTTCAAGTTGGATCTACTTGGAGTTTATTCCATACTATTCTGCTTATTAAATAAACTGGTGTAAAAATCTGGAACTAGGTCATGAAGAAGAAAGTCAGTAAAACACGCCCCTGAAAAATATAATTGCCCTTGCATTTTGCCTACTGGAAAGACAGGAAGCTTTCTTCAGACCTGAGACCTTTGAAGCCCTTAAAAACATCATTTGCGAAATAAAAACATGAGATTGTAAGCATCTAATTGCATTTTAATTTGTAGCACACTGAAAGCAACTGGAAGCTGAAACCTTTGAGAAGTGACAGGAAGCTGTTAGAAAACTGAATAAAGGCCCTCTCAGATTTTAAATTGTATAAATAGAAATGCTGCTTTCCATTCCCACCCCACCAAGAACTCATTCACTATGGCTGGTTAAGGACTAGGACTCTTAATGTTTAACCCATTCCGGGGAATTCTTGTACAGATGGTCTCTGAACTACACATCAAAACACTGGTGGAGATAACTTTTTCCCAGAGTGGGTGAGACCACCAGGGAGTATAGGTGGAGGGGGAGAGGAGTGATAACCTTAATTCCATCACCTCAGTGATCTAGAGAGAGCAGTAATAACCTTAAGTGCAACTGGGAGTGCTTTCTTTGCTGGAAAAAATAGAAGTCTAGAGCACTGAGTGATTTTGTTTTTTCTGAAAGAGGAATGCCTTACAGTGAGCCAAATAAGCATGAAAATCTCTGGCACAGGTAGTAAAAACTAAATAAAAAGCATCTGAACCTGATCAGTTGTCAGGTTAATAAATTCCTTTATTAACTCATTCCGTGAACATTTGTATGTGACAGGCATTTTGCTAGAATTATATTCTAGTTAAGAAGATGAAATTGAGGTTGAAAAAATAGTACATTGGGTAAGGTGCTTGCCTTGCATGTTGCCTACCCACATTCAGTCAATCCCTAGCACCCAGAATGGTCCCCTAAGCACCCCTAGGAGTGATCACTGAGTGCGGAGCCAGAAAGAAGCCTGCCAGGGAAGGCCGAGAGCAGAAATAAATTATTTGTTAGAAGGAGATAAATTAGTGTGATAAATGTGTAACGGTTTAATAATTAAACCAGTTATCTTTAATTTTTGCATGCATTTTTTCATCATTTGAATAATTGTAACTTAAAATCAACACTTTTTTAGTTATTAAACCCCTTGGGCAGCATTGAAATTTATCTGGCTTATCCTCAATCCAGATAAATAAACCAGATTACATTTATGTATTCTAAGAAAATACAGACTTAAGGATGTAAAATGCTCTTTGGAATTTAACATAATAGAGTAAACTCACGTTACCCAAAGTGCCTGATCAGTGGATGTAATCTGCATTGTTTTTGAGTTAACAGTGTGTTCAGTCAAGCTGTCCAGAACCAGCCCGCGCCCGCACAGTCCGGAGTATACAACAACATGAGCATCACCGTGTCCATGGCAGGGGGAAACACAAATGTTCAGAATATGAACCCAATGATGGGCCAGATGCAGATGAGCTCTTTGCAGATGCCAGGAATGAACCCCGTGTGCCCTGAGCAGGTAAGCGGTACAGTTGTTGCAGTGCACTTACCACACCATCCCACATCACAGTTCAATATTCCAAGGGAAATCATGTGTGTGGACGGTTGCTAGCCTAAAATGACTGCACTTCCTTGTTCCTTCCCATTACTTTGGATCATTACTGTCCCTGAAGACGTAGATGGGAAATTTTACAAATTTTAAAAATTTAACCTCATGAGATTTTTCTTACTGCTTTGAATTCTGTATAAATGATACATTTACTACCTTCTCTTCAGACAGACCCCATTGTATTCCGAACACATTTTTCTCTTTCAAGTTAATAAACATTTATTCAGCATTTTCTATATACAGAGGTATTAAGACGGAGTGATAGTTCAGCAGGTGGGGCATTTGCCTTGCCTGCGGCAGACCTGGGTTCAATCCTCGGCATCCCATATGGTCCCCTGAGCAATGCCAGGACTAATTCCTGAATGCAGAGCTAGGAGTAATCCCTGAGCATCGCCAGGTGTGACCCAAAAGCAAAATAATAAATAAAATCTTTTAAAAAATAGATATCTCTGTTGGAAATACATGCAAACAAGTTGGAGAGACATAACATGAATAAAGAATTATTTGAATATCGGGACATAAAAACTGTGTAAAGAGTCAGAGCAATAGTGCAGCAGGTAAGGCCTTTGCCTTCCGTGCATCCTGCCCAGGTTCAGTTTCTGGTACCTCATATGGTTCCCTGAGCCAGCCAGTAATGATCTCTGAGTGAAGAGCCAGAAATACAAGCCCTGAGCCCTACAAGGTATAGCCCAACTGTCAAAAAGAAAACAACTGTGTAAAATATGGACCCCTTGGATGGATCAAACGTATTTATATCAGATGAGGGGAATATGCAACTAAGATTTAAGAAGGAGATCAAATCAGGAAAGGCTTCATGGATATTTTGCCTAAGGAAAAAGGGTAGGTAGAGAAGACATTCAAGACTGGTCATCATAGCCTGACATGACCAGTCAGGAACAAAGGTTGAAAAGCCTAACAGATACCAAAAAGAATATTTTTCAGCTTATGTTTAAAGCAGGCTGTATTTGTTTACATTACTTTAAGTGATTGTGGCCATATGTGTGATTAGAGTGTGTCCTGGGCCCCTAAAGAAAGAACAAGAATGACTAAATTCAAACTGATATTTAAGAAGCCCATCAGAATAACTCCCTGTAATTACTGTCTGATTATGAGCAACCACAAGGTAGACTCTGGTCACTACACATTGTCACGCAGCCGTGACTTATAGCAAGTATAAAAATGTATAAACACTGATCAACTTCTATAATAATATGATTATAGAAGTTGATCAGCGTTTTATGGAATTATTTTATGGAATTCAACAACCTCTGCCTTTTGATGGTGGTTTAAAAATTCGTTGTTTGGGGCTGGAGCAATAGCACAGCAGGTAGGGCGTTTGCCTTGCACGCGGCCAACCTGGGTTCGATTCCCAGCATCCCTTATGGCCCCCTGAGCACTGCCAGGGGTAATTCCTGAGTGCAGAGCCAGGAGTAACCCCTGTGCATCACCGAGTGTGATCCAAAAAGCAAAAAAAATTTGTTGTTTGTGACAGACAAAGATAGGGTTTGACCCTTAGCACCACATATGGTCCCTGAGCACTGTAAAGAGTGATCCTTGTGCATTGAGCCAGGAGGACTGCCAGATGTGGCCCCCAAACTATATATAGATTGTTTGTTTTAAATAAGTGACTAGGGCTGAGAAGACAGTACAGGGGTTATTAGTACAAGGTCTATGTCCAGACCACAGAGCCAGGAGTAAGCCCTCAGCACGGCCAGGTGTGATCCTCAGGTCCCCAGGCATCACCAGTATAACCAGGCAGTCCCTGGCATCACATCCTCAGGCCCTAGAACTGAATTTTAGATCTGGTGGCCAAATATTGCTGCAAGTGGTCCCTGGACCACCCACTTCCCTAGTCACAAAAAGAGTGGTTAGCTTACTTAGGGATTTTTGGTTTGGTTTTTATTTTTCATTTTTGGGTAGATTTTTTTTTTTGGTGTTTTCCTTGCACGCGGCTGACCTGGTCAGCCTAGGTTCGATTCCTCCGCCCCTCTCAGAGAGCCTGGCAAGCTACTGAGAGTATCTCACCCACGGCAAAGCCTGGCAAGCTACCCGTGATGTATTCGATATGCCAAACACAGTAACAACAAGTCTCACAATAGAGACGTTACTGGGCCCGATCAAGCAAAACGATGAACAACGGGAGGACAGTGCTTATTTTTTAGGTTATTTTTTTGTTTTCTGGGGGTAATTTTGTTCATTTGGCCCTTAGTCATCTGTGCTGCTTAAGTCTGACTCCTGACTTGAGTTCAGGTATCACTCCTGGCACAGCTCAGGGGACCCTCAGAGATCAAACCCAGGTGGGCCGTGTACAAGGCTAGCACCTCACCCCTACCCCTCTGACCCTTAGCTCACTTGAGTGGTTGCTTTAGAATTTGTAGTATTCATTTTTTTTCTTTTTGAGTCACACCCAGCTATGCTCAGGGGTTACTCCTGGCTTTGCACTCAGGAATTACTCCTGGCGGTGCTAGGGGGACCATATGGGATGCCGGGGATCGAACCCGGGTCAGCTGCATACAAGGCAAACGCCCTACCCACTGTGCTATCGCTCTGGCCCTCTAGTATTCATTTTCAACACATTTCTTCAGGTAAAATTCTGTCACCGCGTATGTGAGAATCTTAGTTTCTTTTCATTTTCCCCCATTTTTGTTATTGTTGTTGTGCATAGTTATGTCTGCATGTTATAAGTCCCACAATAGATTACTTGAGCTATCTCTCCAGCTCATTATTTTTATTTTGGTTCTTTGGGGCATACTTGCAGTCCTCAGGCACTTCTCCTGACAGTACTCAGGGACTAAGGATTGAACCCGGGTCAGCCACGTGAAAGGCAAGTGCCTTGACCCCAGTACTATCTCTCCAAATTCCCTTTTTTTTTTTAAATTTAAATCTATTCATGCTCTGTGGATCTATTTAATATAGATCCAGATTTTGGTCTGGCATCATTTTCTTTCTATGTCTGCATATGTCTTTGTTTCATCTTGATCTCTGAAAGTTCTTTCCCTGAATTTGAGGTTGACAGTCAGCTCTCAGGATTTAAAGTTGCTGTTCACCTCAGAATTCTGATACAATATATGCTGTCATTTTCATCTTTGTTCCTCAATGCATGATTGATTTGGGGAGGGGGGAAGGGGGCACACCTAGAAGTGCTCTTCCTGGCTCTTCACTTAGAAATCACTTCTGGCAGTGCTTGGGGGACCATAAGAAGTGCTGGGGATTGAACCTGGGATCAAACCTGGTTTGGCCGAGTGCAAGGCAAACGCCCTACCCAATGTCCTATTGTTCCAGTCCCAGTGATTGATTTTTTCTTTCCTTTCTGCCTGCTTTTAAGATCATTCTCTTTATCATTCATCTAAAGTAATTTGATTTTAATATTTACAAATATGATTTTGTTCCTTTTGGTTCTTGTGCTTTAGGTTCACTGAGTTTTTTGATTTATGGGTTTTATAATTGTATCAAATTTGGAGAAATGTTGTCTGTTGCTTCTTTAAATTTTTTTTTTCTATTACCCCTTTTATCTCCTCGGTCAGAGAAGAGACCCCAATTTATATGTGTAGAAGACCACTTAAAATTGTCTCACAACTCACTAATTCTCTACATTTTAGGGGGTTTGTAGGGGAAAGGGGTGAAGGATCAATTACTTTTTCCCAGTGTGTGTCACTGAATAGTTTCTGTAGCTATCTTTTCAAGCGAGTCATTCTGTTCATCCTTATCCATTGTGTTTTTTACTTTAGTCGTTGCTATTTTCATGTCTAGAAGCTCTTTGTAGACATTATTTTTCTGTCTTCCTTCTCTCACTAACCTATCATAGTGCCCTCTATCTTCTTGAACATACAGAATTCATTTTGTGGAATAATCATCTCATCATGCTTGCCTATCATACCTACCATCTACTTCACTTCAGGTTTGGTTCAGTTGATTGACCTTTTAGTAGGAATCATATTTTTCAGCTAATTTATGTGCCTGATAATTTTTTTATTAGAAGGGCAGACATGTGAATTTTATCTTGTTTATACTCCTATAAGTATTCTTGAGCTTTGTCCTGGAAATGAGACCTGTATTCTGTATTCTGCTGTATTGTGCTGGGACCAGCGCCAGTGTCCCCTCCTCTGGAGACATCCCAGTTCATCCCAGTGCCTCATTGGTGTTTCCCTCTGGTAATGGGATCGGTGCTTGTGACCAGCTCCTCTGTGGCCTTTGGGAGTTATCCCATGTACATCTTCTCAGGTGACTCTGTCCTCTGGCTTGGAGGGTTTCTGAACAGCCTGTGGCTGGAGGAGGCCTTCTGTGCTGCTCTGGAACTTTCAGTATTGCTCACTTTCTTCTGTCCTCTGATGTTCTACCTTATGAAGTCCAGTAGCCTTGGCCGTCCGAGACTTCTACCCTCATCATCTTTACTCTGGGAAGTTGCCGGACTCTGCTTGGGCTTCCTGTTTCCGTGCTGCAGCCTGCAAATTCTCTGCAGGTAGTGGGTCTAGGCTCCATGGGACTCCCCTCTTTTTTCATAACTCTTGTTTGGGGGTTGGGCAGCTCCACAGTCGCGCTTCCCTAGCAGGGCTTCATTCTGCCACTCTGGGGGCTGTGAGATTCCAGCAGTGGAACCCTGGCCAGCGCATGACTGTCCTCAGCTTCAGGCCTTGACTTCGTGTTCATGTGCCAGACCTTTGAGCCTTTCAGCATCATTCTCATTTTGTCTAGTGCCTTGAGGACCTTTGTTTCACATATTTTGTCCAATTTTTCAGTTGATTTAGGCTGAGGATAATCTAATTCCTCTTACTGAATCTTGACAGAGGTCTTTCCTCATTAACTTACTGGGTATCTGTGAGTTGACTTTTTGTAGGTTTTTACTGTGTATATCCCAATCCATAGGACATACCTCGCAGTGAACTTTCACAAACCGAACACACTTTTACAGCAAGCACTCGGGTGAAGAAACAAAACAGGCCCGACCCCAGCGTTTCTAACACCCCACGCTGCTATCTGCTTCCCCATGAGGAGGACCCAGTCCTGACTGCCAGCCACGTCACGGTGAACTGCCGTGCCTTTCTCTTCTCCTTTCACCTCCTTTGCTTTTTCTGCAGATTTCTGAGATTGTTTCTCATTAAAGAAGTTCATCTTGAATTTAAACAGCTCACTTGTAATTCGTTTTTGTATTTACCTTTGCTAGATCAATGACCCAGCGCTGAGACACACTGGCCTCTACTGCAACCAGCTCTCGTCCACTGACCTTCTCAAGACGGAAGCAGACGGAACCCAGGTCAGTAAGAAAAGTCTTAAGACCAGAGCTGTCAGACGCTTCTAGATGCAAAGGATTCTGTGTGTGGAATGGTGCTTTCGAGAAACCTGACCTTGAGCGTCAGGCCTGGATATGAGTCCTGCCTCCACTCTTCTTAGCTGTGTCATCCTGGGCCTGTCAGGGAAGTTTCCCGAGCTGCTGAATAACCAACAGAACTAACAAACTGCTTCTGGTAGGACTGTTGAGATCAACTTCCAGGTTCAACCGTGGGTTCAAAGGGCTAAAGAGATCATACTTAGTGGCCACTGATGGGAAACAAACACAGAACTCGACCCCGCCTGTAAACAGTATACCTCCCAAATCCCCGGTGAACTCACCCCCAGCAGAACACCTGCTGTGTGCTCCACTGGCTCCTGGACAAGGGTTGTTTCAAAACAACACAGCCACCAAAACATGTAAGATGCCTCCATTCACCTGAGCCTAGGCATTCTGCAGGTTTTAATCCACTTCAGTCACTGGTTTAGTCTCTATTTTGTGTGGGCCCGGTAAGGAATTGGGGCCGCTCCTGGCAGTGCTCTGGGCCGCCCCCTGCTCTCTTCTCCCCCGTGGTGTTCCAAGGTTCCGTGAGATGCTGAGGATTTAACTGGGGTTGGCCTCGGGCTGGGCCTTAGCCCTTGGTCTATCTATTCAGCTCTGGTTTAGTCTTTAGTGTCTTAATAAATATCATTTAATACAGACATTTTGCTAAAATATAGACAGACATTTGAGATATAGAAACCGGGAGGAAATGAGGAAAGGAAGCTTCACTTGCGAAATGCTTACGGATTTATGAGGTGTGACCTGTCCTGTCTCGCTTCGGCCTCCCTCCAGCAGTAGAGGCAGGTAGTGTTAGACATTTTTCCCCCCACAGATGAAAGAACTGAACCTCAGGAGGTTTAACTGCATAATTTTCAGACCTAGAACGTGCCAGAGCTCAGGCTGAAACCCAAGTTTCTCCAACACTAGATTGAGGCTCTAGCACATTCCCTAGAACCTACAGAGAGATCAAACCCATCCTCCTGCTCATAGTGGCACACTGTTCGAGAAGGCGAACCTAATGTCACAAGTACTTCAAAGTCAAGAGTCATGGCCGAGAGGAACAGATCTGTCCTAGTGATTCTACTTTTGTTCTAGAAGGTGCATGTTCAGAAGAGCATTCCTAGGAGACAGGGCAGGAAAGGACGGCCAGCAAAGCAGCATGGAAGAGAATGGGCTGGTAGTCTTTGGAGGTTTGGGGTGGAAGGGGAAGAAGTGATGTGGGATTCTGGGGGGTTAGAGGTCACAAAACAGAGCGAGCGCAGAAGCATGGAAACACAACTCGTTTACTGGAGACCTGGGAAGCCAAATCCACTGAGAGTAAAGGGTGGTACCAAGAATTCACTGCAACTAAACCTGGCAAAGTCAACTGGGGGCACTTTCTAGGGACCTTGAATCTTGATGAAGGGGCTTAACCCTGCAGGGGAAGAGTGTGATCGTGCTAGCATGAGGCTTCATCTCGGGGAGGAGGAGGTAGGAGGGGACGGGACTAGCCACCAGCCCAGGAGAAGATTCGGGTGGGAGCTGCGCCCCTGGTCTGTGCATCAGAGACCGTGTTGGATCCAGTGGGCGACGAGAGGACCATGAGGTGAAGAAAACAAAGTCATCCTTCACAGGATGGTTTCGGAAGTTGCACACCTGCAAAGCTAGGGGAAGCGTGAGGAGCTGGTAGGATGAAGCAACCAAGTTTGTTACAAGTTCCTGAGCCCTGACGCAGTGTTTAAGTTAAAGTGAAAACTGCCCACGGCAGGGATAGAGCTGAGCTGCAGAGCACTTGCCTTCCATGTGTGAAGCCCCAAGTTTGATCCCCGGCACTGCAAAGAGCAAACACTAAGTTCTCACTTTGTTCTCACCTGGGAAATCTTAACCTTTGGTTGCATCTTGCTTTGCCCATGTGTGATATGGAGCCAGTCTCAGAAGTACCTAAGTCTGGTGTAAAGCACCCCATTTTTTTGTTGTGGTTTTGTTTGGGGGGTTATACCTGGTAGTGCTCAGATGCTCTCCAAGTCATGTTCTAGGGACCATGTGGTGCCAGGGATGCAGCCAGCCTCCTCCATGCCAGGCATCAGCCTGTGAGCTCTTGCCAAACTTAAGGCAACTCCTTTTCTTAGAGTTAGGAGGCCACACCCAGCGTTGCTCCGGGCATACTCTTGGTTCTGAGCTCAGGGATCACACCTGGAGGGCTCAGGGGGACTGTTTGGGCTGCTAGGGATCAGACCTGGGATGGCCGCATGCAAGGCAAATGCCCTAAGTGCTGTACTATTGCTCCAGCCCTCAGGAATCTCTTTTTTTACAAAAAATGGTATTGATTGAGATTATGTCATTTACTATTCACTAATGATGGTTTCTCAGGCACGTAATCCCAGCACCATACCCATCACCGGTGCCACCTCCCTCCCCAAGAACCCTTACTCCCTTCCTTCTCCACCTCCCCTCCCACCAGCTCAATTGTATGAACCAGTTAAAGCACTCCCATTCTTAAGTGGCAGCTCCAAGTGACTAAACTTGTACATTTTAGATTTGATTTAATAATTAGGGTTCCGATTTCAAAATCAGCTTTATTTAAAAAGTGTTCTTTAGGGCTGGGGGTATGGCCCACTGTTTCCACGGCATGCTGTGTGTGAGAGAGAGAGAGAGAAAGAGAGAGAGAAGCAAGGTAGTTTTCTTTACACAAAACTTGCTTTTAAAAGTGTGGGAGGAGAGAAAGAGGGGACATGTATGTATGTTCAGGAGGGAACACGGCTTCTCTAGAGTGGAAATAGGCAGCAAAGAAACAGAGACACGTGCTCGAGGGAGAACACGGGCTGGCAGAGTGAGCGCAAAAAGCTTTCTTTAGTTTCATCATGCCGTTAACCAAGTTGCTCTTGTTTGTGCGATGCCAGGGATCAGGATGCAGGGCCATACGCATTCAGGCCTGTGCTCTACCACCAAGCCTCATTCACAGTCTCACTGACAATGTATTTAAGCTTTCAGCAGCAGAAAACACTTTCTGCTCTGACCCAGAATATCATGTGTTGAAACTTGAAAATTCATATGAAGTTTTTTCTATTGTTCAGTGTCTGAAGACACTGTAGCTTGGGGCCAGGGAGATGGTTCTAGGACTGGGCCCAGATTTGGCATAAAGGAGCCCTGCATTCAATCTCTACATCACATGGTCCCCCAGCACCGCCAGTAGTGCCCCAACCCCTAAAATGAAAAGAAAACTATACTTTGGGGTCAAGCAGTAGTATAGCAAGTAGAGCACTTGCCTTGCAGATATGGTCAGCCAGGCCCATATCCCAGGCACCAACAGGAGTTACCCCTGAGCACTGTTGGGTGTAACAAATAAAAACCTGTATATTGCTTCAGTGACACATTCATTGTGTTGTGACCCATCCTGAAATCTCTCTTTGCTCCAGTGATTTTGTATTTGCCCCCCAGACAGTTGGAGTGAGTTCAACAGAATCATAGGGATGGACCTATGGGAAAGTAGGGAGAAAGAATAGGGTGATGACAGGGCAAGACCAGAGGCTAGTTGCATTTGGAGGAGGTGAGGCTGAGAAAGAACTTGAAGAATGAGAAGCAGGAAGAAGGCTGGAAGGGGGATCATTGGGCTGGGAGACCGGAGAAAAGGGTGAGAGCGAGTTACTGGGAACCCAGAGGCTACCGGAGAATGGATTGAAACAGAGCTAGGATGTGTTCTGGGGGTTTGGTTTTGTTTGGGGGCCTCACCGGCTCGGCCACAAGCATGCAAGGGAAGAACCCTACCCGCTGTACTGTCTCTTCAGCCGTGAGAGGAGGTGTGTTGTAGATACACAAGGAAGAGTCCAGAAGAAGAAAGCCAGAGGGAGGAGATGCAGGCAAGGAGAAAAATGTGAAACCCTGGAGAAAGAGGAGGAAATGGAGAGGGACAAGGTAGGGGGATGTGGTACCGACTTAAGTGAGGGTAATCCAGCAGGTCTTGGCAAAGCTGCACTCGGACTTCTCACCTGATCTGCGAGAAAGCAAGGTGAGCTGTAGATGGAATCAGGACACCGTCCATTCAGGACAGATAGTGGGAATGGTTGACAAGTAGCCAAGGAAGGTTGATGGAAAATAACATCTATTCAGTTCGGAGAGTTTATAAAATAGAAGATGAGTATAAGTGGCATGAATCAGTTAGTGATGAATGATAAAAAGGAAAGAAAAGAAAAGCATCACATACCTGAAATAGTCCATGAACCTTTTCAGCATGAGGAACAATTTAGCCAGAAGCCTGAGCTGTTCCCAGAGGCACTTGCGTGTCATGGGGGGGGGGGGGGTCTCCTTTCTTGTCTGGAACATTCACCAGTGGGATATTGGCCTTAATAAGTTCTACAGATGACCTTTTTCATAAGGCTGTTTGGTAAAACTAACTTCTGCCTTTGTTTTTCCAATAGAAAGTGCTAAACGATGCAGTCAGACAGTTGTAAGAAATACACGTGTCATTACTGACAGCAGATAAAGGGAAAGAAAATTCACACTATTTTCAGCTAATAGTTTACTGTTACTTTTAGCTCATTTGTTTAAGTGGGTTGTCTCACAGGAAAAAGAAGTTGAATATAAAATTGGGCTACTAATATTTCACAGTAATTTTAAAGGCAACACGTACAGGGGCTATGAAGTAGTCTCTAGAAGCCACGCCTGGACATGAGCTTCGAGTAATGCCGTTGGTCTGATGCCGATTGTCGTGGTTTTATGGTGCTAATACTGGGTTAAAGCCCTTAATGTGCTAACAGAAAGATTTTTTTTTAATCCAACTAAAGTAGTTCCTAGACCGCTTCTAAGCCACTCTTCCAAATAACAGTTTTTAAACCCACCACCGGCTCCCCAGCTCGGCCGCTGGACTTTGCCCGCTCTCTGCGGTGTTAGCCGTGATGCCCACTCTCAGTCTTGATGGCAGCCCCGTAGGAGGCCTGATGACCATTCCACTTTTGACTTTAATTTTAAAGTGTGAACTTTCCAGAACCCTGAGCAAAATGAGTGCAGCGATTTTCTTTTTGTAGGACAAGAAGACAGAAGAGTTCTTCTCTGTGGTGACTACAGACTAGAGGAATGCTCTAGTGAGTTCCCACTTCACGTAGAACCCACTCATAAGCCGGGGGGGCAGGCCCTTCTGTCTAAACACATCTTTCATTTGTGTTCCAGCAGGTGCAACAGGTTCAGGTGTTTGCTGACGTCCAGTGTACAGTGAATCTGGTAGGAGGGGACCCTTACCTGAACCAGCCTGGTCCACTGGGAACTCAAAAGCCCACGGCAGGACCCCAGGCCCCCCAGGCCCAGCAGAAGAGCCTCCTTCAGCAGCTACTGACTGAATAACCACTTTTAAAGGAATGTGAAATTTAAATAATAGACATACAGAGATATACAAATATATTATATATTTTTCTGAGATTTTTGATATCTCAATCTGCAGCCATTCTTCAGGTCGTAGCATTTGGAGCAAAAAAAAAATAAAAATAAAAAAAAGAAGAGAAAAAAAGTTCACTTTTGTTGGGAGATTGAGAGGTGTTTTTGTTTCTTTATTTGTAAAAGGCCTTGGATATTGACAAAAATAACAAGGCAGAACAGTTGGACAATCTATTTCTTGAGCCAAATTTCATTATTCTTATTTTTGTAATCAGTCATTGGCTTCTTATCTGGATGAAGGCTTGGGGAGGAGATCCCCAAAGGACCAGTTCTAAGGGGAAGACGAAGCTCCGCCTCCTCTGGTCAGTCGGACGCCAAGGAAAAAGGGCCGGTGGGCTCGGCCTGTGCCCCTCCGCCACGCTGCCCCGGCCACTCGAGACCCACAGCCCTTCCCTCCCCTCGGGCAGCTTGTGTACAATCAGCTTCTTCTAGCAACTCTGCATCTGTTGGCTCCAAGACAATATTTTGCCTCCACATATGTACCCCTTCTCCTTTTTTTTAAAGATGGACTTAAGCCAAGATGCCTCCAGGAACGGGGACAAAATGAGTATATTCACCGAGGAATCCAAAAAAGATGCAGTTTGGGGGAAAATGCAATAATGTTGATGTGATGGGTGAAGGACTAAAAGCAAGTCTTGTCAATTACTGTAGATACAATTTTCTGATTAAATCTGGAAGGAAAAAGAAAAAAAAGACAGCCTGTTCTTTCTGCTTTCGTTGTAATAATGGCTGAGGTAGCTAAAGTTATTTAAAATAAAATGAAATTTATGATCCAAGTAGCTTATTTTCCCCTTTAATCTCACTGTAAATATATTTGATTTCTTGTAGTTGATTTCCTTCTGTTTACTTTTCTGAGTTTATGATCATACTCTTGATTTCTCTGAATGTGTGTGTGAACTGTCGCATTGATTGAATCGCAGTTACATTTGGCTATTACTGCTTCGTTAGTTTAATAACTGTGATGCCAGTTACCGATTTACTTTTGGGTCAGATCAAAATGCCCCTGCTGGAAAGAGCTGCTCGTGGTGAGCTGGAGCCCACTGCTGAGAGCAGCTCCGCCTCGGACCCCGTTCTCACCAGAAGCGCACAGGCTACGCAGAACAAGCGAAAAGTAGTGCTCAAAGAAAATCTTCTGTTTTCATTGACTTTTGGGAATTTGAATTTTCATCCGTGCAAAAACGAATTTCTCCTTCCTGCCCTGAGGCTCATTGGTACCACATTTTGCCTTGGCATCTGTCATTCTGCCACCTCTGGTCACATCCTGGCCTCTAAGTCACGGACCCAGCGAATGGCCTTTCTAGTTCGAGAAGTTCTGCTACAAGGCCAGGAAAACTGTAATACCAGGAAAGCTAAAGGTATTATGGATGAAGCAAAGGTAGCCCCCATCTCTTGCCTTTACCTGCACCCCGGACCGGTGACCGATGACAACATCTGGCATTGTGCACTCCTCCCTCTGCCGCTGGGGCAGAGAAAGGCCGTAAGAACTGACTCACGATGAAAGGAACACGGACTCCGACATCGAGGAAGAAGCCATTTCCCCAGGTCCTCCGTTCTGAATCTCAGAGTACCCCTGCCCCCCCAACAATGATGGAGCTGCAGATATCTCCTTTGGACAGCATCTATTCAGAAACTACTCCGAATATAAAGATGGGTGGAAGGGCTTATGTGGGTAGCAACTATGAAACAAAAAACAGGACACTCAGTTACAAACATTATCTCTTTTAGTTTTCAGAAAGTGCATCCCTGGTTTCATTCATTCCCCACTTGAAAGCCCGGCCATATTACTCTAGTCCCTGCCAAACTGCTCTAGGAGGTCATTTCTGCTTTGTTTGTGATTTGGTTGTGCAGACTTCAGGAAGTCCACTTTTCAGCATTCCAGATGAAGTTTCCTGACTCACTGCTTTTGCAGAAGGAACTAGAAAAAAAAAAAAAGGGAAAAAGTGGTAAGGAAAATCAGAGATGCTAACATCGCCCCATCCCAACTGCACCTTAAAAGTATGCATGTCACCTTCAAGGTTTTATAATTGCACTGTTTGTTTTATGTATGTACAGATTAAAATTATTGCTACATTTGAGGAAAATAAAATTGCTTGCTTCTATGTAATTCCTGTCAATCTACAGGAAATTCACTTTTCCAGCTACTGAATAGAATTTGTTAACAACCTCATGGGTTGTCTCTTTATTTACAGTGAAGAAATGAAACAAACCTGCAGGTACTACCCTAGCCCATAATGACCAAGGCATAATTAAAGGATAGTGACTTGAGAGGATCCCTCAAGCCACAGATCCTCCCCATCAGCCTGTTTCTCCATCAGGGGCCATAGAGGCCCAGTTGGGCCCCCAGTGCAAAAACCTTTTAAATGGGGTTTCAAGGCATGAGACTATGTGTCCAACCAGTAGGAGAGGGGGGTCACAGGAAAGAGGGTCAGAAGGGACCACAGTTGGAAGAAGGTTGAGAACCTAGTGCTGTATTACTCTTCTACAAACAACACGATGAAATTTGAGGTCTAAGTGAAGTCATGAAAGGGGGCCTTGAGCAAACTCTTAACTTGGACCGTTTATCTAGTGATCTGTTGCCTAGTCTTGTTTCCTGATTCAGCAAGTCTGCTCCAGGAAGCACGACATAACCCTAAGATATATTCTCACTCTGAAATTGGTTTTTATATACTAACATTTATCATTACATAGATTCATCATAGGTTGAATCTTCCTGGAAGTTTCTTCTTCAGTGTGGAAATCCTGTAATCACATGTAGGCCCTGTTTCTTCCTTGTATGTTGTAAGGAAGTCCAGATCCACCAACACTTAGCCAAGTAGTTCCAGAGTAAGAGAGCAAGCAAACATCATACTACAGGGTAGCAAGCCTTTCTACCCCCACCCCACCCCCGACACCCCCCACACCCACCCCACAGTCCTACCAAAATAAGTTTATACACTCAGACTTGGTAGTTATCTGATGCCATACTTAAGGCCAGCAGAGGGTGGGTGGGTTTTTCCTAATGTTGGGTTAAGGTGGAAATTGTTTGTCTTAGATGAGGTTGCATGTTGATTTAAATTCACCCCAAGGAAGGGGAGTGGAAGGCCATTTGAAAATAAGTAGAAACCCATTGGGGGGAAATGTGATAGGAACTTCACCTTCTTTATAGTTTGACCTAAATTACATCCCTCCAAACTGTGTCCTGAGTACTACAGTGAAAGAGAAAGCAAGGACAATTGTCTGGTGGCAAAGAAAGTTGTGCCCATGTCCATGTGGACACTACAGCCGTTCCCAGAAGAGCAGCTCCACTAGAATAAAGTGAGTAACTCAGAGCAAGTGTGGTCTTATACCTCTGAATATGGTTTTGATGGTTTTAATTAAACCCATAAATTCTTTTTATTGGAGAAAACACAAAGGAAGCATTCCTCCACCCAGGGCCTTTCCTGCCAGGGCTAAATTAGCTTCCTCTAGGTATTTCATACTCATTGCCCCAAGAGCTCTTAGGAAACACAAAGCCCTGGTCTTAAGTCACTCAACGCATTTCAGTGGTTGTGGGAGGGCCCAGAGGCCGGGCACCTTGTCCCCCTGGAGCTTAGGTTCAGGCAGGAGAGCAGGCAGAGTCCTAGAATGAAGTGCCAAAGGAGGGTTGTACGTTGCTCTGTGAGGCTTGGAGATTTCTTTGAGGAAGGAACAGCCTGTGCAGTGAGCCGTGTGGGCGCCGTGAGAAACCTGTGGAACCGCGTGGGTGAAGGGCTGGAGACAAGGGCAGGGCCCCCATAGCTGATGTTTTTAGTGATGAGCCAATGTGCCTGAGTTCTCACAAACATGTTAGTAGAAGTGGGTGAACTGGTGGACTGGGAAGTTACTTTGACCGGCTTTCTTCAGCGTTTTCACCCCTGCGGACCAGCAAGTGGTCTGTCCTGCACACTGGTCCACAGCTCAATTTCTCACCAAGGCAGCGTTTCCTCCACCTTGCTCCACCCACACAGTTGCGTAGGGTCTTAGGACCAGTAATTCAAGACCCTGATTTACACCCTTTGACAGACCCCCCAGGACCAGCATTGGACCAGGACTTGGAAATTGTGTTGGTCTGTAAGTGCGGTCTTTTACTAACTGTGTTGCCAGAGATGGGATACCTAGGGGGAGGGGGGGTGGGAGGCGACGGGGAAGCTGCAGGGGTGTTGCAGAGGGACGAGCAGCTGTGCTCAGGAATCACCTCTCCTGCTGGTGCTCGCATCTGGTTCTGGAGATTAAAGCTGCCTGCCAGGTCTATACCCTCCCTGCAGTTGCAGTACTCTCTCGCCAGTCCTGAGGCTTCTTTGGCTTCCACACAGTTGGACAAAGCTGGTGACAACTGCTGATTAAAAACATGCGGGGAAATACATTTGCACTGGAATAAACGGGGGGTGGGGGGGTGATATGCTTTCCTGGCCACATCAGCTGCACGCAGGGGCCTGGCCTTGGCCCTTGGGAGTCATTCCCAGCAGTGCTCTGAGAAGCAAACCCAGGCTTGCATTCGAAACCTGCACTTCAGCCCTTTGAACTATCTAACTGCTTCCTGAAAGTTTTAATGTGACTTTTAGAGGCTTTTTTTTTTTTAGGATAAAACCTACTTTATCCTCTACAATCCTTTACAAGAATTAGAAATAAAAAGAAAGGCTGTGACACATGCCAGTGAACTGAGGCTTGGAACTAAGTTCTTCTAATTGCAAATCCTGAGTTCACTATTTTCTCTCTTTTCCAGTAAAATCGAAAACAGTGAAATTGTTGCTGCCAGCTGCTGCTGTTGCCATGGTGACCAGAGCTCAGGGCCTGTGGCGCTCAGCTGGGGGGTGCACAGGTTGTACAGTGCACACACTCAGCCACTGTGCTCTGAGGGCTGCACTCTCTTCATGGTGTTCACTAGGGGTTACCACGGTATCACCCACGTGTTTGCCAGAGTCATGTCCTGGCCATGGAGCCTCACATCTTTTTAGTAGTTTTCACTGGGGGTCCCCCACCCCCATTAGTTGTGATGCTCACACACACCTAGCTGGAACTTGCTTGTAGCATTGGGGATCACGGCTGAGCTGCCAAGATCACACCCAGCACATGTGGTCGCACTGGAGCCCAGAACTCTTCACTGCATGCTTATAAGGCAGTGCACAGTCCGAGTCTCTGCATGTACCAGATTCTTATCATTTAGGACTGATTTGGACTCTGCAGGCTTAATTCTCATGTCACCCTGGGCAACACTTCTTTACAAAGGGAAAAGAAACAGCTACGCTAGGAGAGGCAAGAATTCAAAGAGCCAGAAAAAAGAGAGCAGGCCCTGGGGCTGGAGCAGACGCTGCCCTAGGATGAGCCTGGGGTGAGCTTTGACACAAGGTCAGCGGGCCTGCCGACACACTACAGTTTGGGGACAGGCATTCCTTCACAGGAAATGTGGAAGGGGTCCTGGATGCAGCGTCACCCCCTCTGCTTAAGGGGATTTGGGGAAGTGCAGGTTCTTGTGGGGCAGATAAAAAAATGACAGGAAGCATCCTACAATTTCAACTAAAATTGGATTTCTTGAGTCAGATGATGGAAGCTTTTCTCTGGCTTTTGGGGGGCCATACCCAGCAGTACTCGTGGTTTACTCCTGGCTTAGGGGATCAAAACACGGCACTAGGGATTGAAGCGGGGTCAGCCACCTGCAAGGTAAGTGCCTTAGCCTCTGTGCCGTTCTGGCTTTTGAAACTCCTGCGGACAACCTTTCTCTTTGCAGGAGTTGCCTAGTGTCACTGTTCATGCAGCCAGCATAAGCAATCAGTCCCTACCGGGATCTAGAGCAAGACTAAGGACCTAGAGCAAGACTAAAACTAGTTAAAAGGAATAACTATTCCGTCGGGTCCTCCTCCCACTCCAATACCCAGAGGTCCTGGGTACAGAATGAAAAAGCCGAGACCAAGGTTTTGAGATTCATCCGCTCTCGCCCTTAGTACTGATGGGCAGTATGCAAAATGCGGGGACACTGGCCCGAAGCTGCCTTGTCCCTAGCAACGGAGATTCCACTGCAGTGTTAAGCGAAATGAGTCAGAAAGAGCGGGATAGACACAGAAAGATTGCATTCATCTGGGGAACATAAAGCAACAAAAAGGGAGATTAACACCCAGGAATGGCTGAGATTAGTACCAGGAATTTTGCTCCATGAATGGAAGGCCAGCCACAGGCTCTAGGTGAAAAGGAAGCTCAGATAGAGAAGAGAGTACCAAATGAAGGGTGTTGTGAGGGCCCTCCCAGGGTGGGAGAAGCATGCTAAAAGTAGTCGATAGACCAAACATGATTGTCACTCAAAGCCTCTCTTGCAAAACACAGTACCCAAAAGAAGAGAGAGAGAACAAGGGGGAATACCCTGCCACAGAGGCAGGATGGGACGGGGGGGGGGGGGGGGGGGGGGAATGAGGGCTGGGGGGGGGGGATGCTGGGACCCGTGGGGATGGATGACGGGCACTGGTGGAGGGATGGGCACTTGATCATTTTATAACTGAAACCCAAGCACAAAATTTGTAAGCCTATAACTGTACCTCATGGTTCTTCACTAATAAAAAAAGGAAAAAAAAAAAGAAATGTTTGGAGGGTGGAGGGGACTCAGAGTGCTCGGGCACAGGCTTTGCTCACAGGAGGCCCCGGTTAAATCCTGGCACCACATGGTCCCCCGATCACCAAGTTTGATCCTGATGTAAGTAGATAGGAAAGGGCCTGCGTGACACCCCCGCCACCAAGCCAAGAATAGCCCTTACCCTCAGCTGGTGCAGCCAAAATAAAAACAAAACAAAAAAAACAAAGTGATACTAAGTTCTACTTGCTAGACAATTTGCCTAGTAATACTAGACGAATACTCGTGTGCTGATCATTTCTGGTTTGGACGGCACTTTGACTTAAACTATGTCACTTGACCTTTGAAATCCTGTGAAGCGTGAGAATCACCCTGTCTAAGATCCTGATCACTGATCATTTGAAATTGAGGTGAGGGCAGTGGTTCTCCAGCCAGTCCCTGCGCTCGCCCTGGGCAGAGGCCCGCTGGGAAAACCATTCCGCCCGGCAGATGCAGGCCTGCATTTGCAGTAGGCAAACAAACAGTCCCCCTGCCCCGGAACCCCAGACTTCCAGACTTCGGAATCTGACCCACAGACCAGTGCGACTGTCCCTGAATGAACAGTGGCGTCATCT